CTGCAGCTTCTCGTGGAGCTGATGTATGCGACTGCTGGGGCGGGGCATGGGGGCTCGCTGGAGACTGCAAAGTGGGGTTAAAATGAAATCTGTTTTATGTTTCACTGCATGCATAAATCCGCTTTATGGCTGCTTGGTGGCCATTCCTTATACCTTTTACTATTTTTTTTTACAGCTTCACACCTGCGTTAAAATTTTGATATATGAACGTGCCAGGGGATTGGTGTGCATACGTGTATATGTATGCCTGTATCTTTATGGAAATTTACTGCTACTACTCCACAAGACGAAAAGAAAACTTTGCCAAAAGGCAGGCCCGATATCGTTTAGGTGTCTGGAGAGTAAAATACTGTGAAAGAAACTGTCACCATCAAATCGAATTAGGACGAGCTAAAAAGTTACCCTCCACTGTCTTTTATACCAACAACTTTTTTCTCCCCCAATCTCTGTGTGCTATCAAATCTGTCATCACAAAACATTCTTTACTTGGTCATCCATAATCATATTTTGCAATAAGTAGATAATAAGATTAAAGCTATTTATGTTATTTTTATTACAAATGGTACTTGTTTTATATAGAATTGTTGATATCATTAATTGGAAGTTTATTATTAATTATTTGTGTATAAGTAAGTGTTGCTTTTTTAACGTTGTTAGAGCGTAAAGTTTTATGTTATATCCAGAATCGTAAGGGACCTAATAAAGTTGGTTTGATAGGAATTCCCCAACCTTTTTGTGATGCAATTAAATTATTTACAAAGGAACAGACTTATCCTTTATTATCAAATTATTTAAGATATTATTTTTCTTTATTTTTATCTTTATTAGTTTGAATGTGTATGCCTTTTTTTATTAAATTATATTCTTTTAATTTAGGTGGGATATTTTTTTATATGTTGTACAAGTTTAGGGGTTTACATTGTTATAGTTGCGGGTTGGTCTTCTAATTCAAATTATGCTTAATTAGGGGGCTTACGAGCTGTTGCTCAGACTATTTCTTCTGAAGTTACAAGTGGATTTTGTACCATTGTCTTTTGTGAATATAGGTTACCATGATAACTAATAAAGATTCTTGAGCATTGAACAAATTGAATAAATATCAATACGCATAAATAATGGTTTAATAAATTAAAAAAGCTTTTTTATACGTGAATCAAAAACAGAAAAGTAACGCAAAGGAGGTGCGAATTAAGCAGAATCAATCCGACAGCGAAAATCAAATAAGATAAGATAGACAGCATTTCAATCGGAATGATTGAAATCATCAACCTCTTCTTCAATCCCTCAGTGTACGAAGAGCTAAGTGGCCTATCAGTTCTTCAAATCAAATAAGTCGGTTTTAAATAAATATATAATAAAAACGTCTACAACGGATAATGGGAACACAATCACTGAATTTTCCCAACACGCGCTAAGTCACTTTATGGCGAGCAACTTGTTACGCCTTATGAAATCTTTAAATCGTGGCAAATTTTTAAATCCAGCAACAACAAATCCAGCACGCCTACCATAACACAAAACTTGCCTAATCTACCAGTTGCTCCTGTACCCTGCACCCATAAGCTAAAAGGACATGCTACACTTATAAGTATGTATATTTGTAACAGTAGGAACGATTGTCTAGCAGATCTCACTAAGTATATATGTACTCGTATATTCATGATTAGTAAGTCGATTTAAACCTGTCTATTCATCAATGAAAGCAAGATATCGGAAAGCAGACAAACTCATTCGATGGGGTGTTGTGGTCGTGGCCTAATTTTCAGCAAATTAAATACTTTGTGAGTTCTTGTGGTTTTGTGCGTTCATGTTAATTTTTGGGACATCGAACTACTACGAAGTTTTAAAATTTAAGGTAGTTTTCGCGGCAAATACTTTCATGAAATTCATGCTCATTTTTGACCCTTCACGATCACTCGTGTTTACACACAACTCTAGTGCAGCGGATTTAGAATCTGGCGCGACTCTAGCATTTATGTTAATTTTTTCATATCTCGCTAAATGAAGTCAGAGTAAATTCTTAGAACCAGCAACTCACGTAACTCAATGGGGGAATTAAAAGTCAAATGAGGGGCAGGGGTATGGCAGAATGGCGACCACAGCCGCGACCGCAAACACAACCTTTTTGACCCCAACCCAAGCCACGTGATGAAAGTGGACGCATGAGGCAAAGAGCACACAACAGGTCCTGTTAACTCATTGTTGGGAGGGACGGACAACAGATGAACGGACCGACTGGATGACGGCTGTGCTGTCAACGTTTCAAGGTGACACATGACAATGCCATTGCTCCACAGCTACAGCCACAGTCGCGTCCCTTTCGCTTTCCCTCCTTCCACATTCCCCTCCTTGCAGCAATCACATTAAGCAATGCCATTGTGAGTTGTTTCCCGTTGGCGTTACTTACTTTGTCATTTTCATAAAATATTTAAATACAAAAATGAGCAAAAAAGCTGACGGCATCAGAAGGCACTCTGCGAACAGAAGAACCGATGAGCAACAGAAATGTGTCGCAGCATTAGCGCTACGGACACACATACAGCAAAAACTTCAGCCACGGCTGCCACTGCTTCTGTGCGTAATGAAGCAGCTATAAGTGTACAAGTACAGTGTCTAAAAACATCGCACAAGAACAAGATTTGCTCTCCTCTCCTATACTCCTCTACTCCTCTGCTCCTGCTTCTCCACTTTGTGTTTTCTTTTATTTTCTGTGCAGCTCCTTTGCCACATACTTTACTCCATTTTGTCGCCTTAGTTGCTTCCCTGGTGGCACTTTTCGTTAAATGTTTAGTGTTTCTGTTGCTGTTATGGTTGTCGTTGTTGCTTTATTTGTGCATTTAAATGAGGTTCTCTTTAAGTTAAATTGCTTAATTTTTATTGTTCACTTTCACAGCGCCTTAAAGTATGCAGCACCTTTTTTCAGTCGCAAAGGTCTCTAGACTTGCATTTTAATGAACGTTTTGCATAATCAATCAAATAACAGAACCCTGAAATTAATTCAACTCTTACCATGATTCCCAACACTAACAAAGTTTTCAGTGAAAAAAAGTATAAAAGTCTTTAAGTACATCATAGAAACCAGAAATAGCAAGAAATTGCAAGCTGCTTTTTAAATGAAACTGGTTTTTTCTTTTAAATATATAAATACACAGAATTGATTTTTCTTCCTCAAAATAATCACACTCCGACACAATATATAGAGTTTTGAACTATCAAGAGTTTCAATCAATCTGATGAATTAAATTTTGAAGGGGATGTCGATAAAAAAAAAAACAGCAGTAAGGGATATTTTCAAGCGGATATGTATATTGTCTCTGACCACATTTGGCTGTGAATCGAGGCATAGCTGGCCAAATAGCAAATAAATTTCCCCAACGTATTTACATTTATTTTTGTTTCTTAACTTTTATGTTGAATTTATAACGTAATATTATTTTATATATTTATTGTAATATAATACAATTTTATTAGTATCAGTATCTGACAGCACAATTAGTTGATTTATTTAAAATAAATTAAAATTGTTAGTAATTCGAAAGCGTTATTATGTATGTGTATAGTGTGAAGACATAAAAGAAAATGAAGGGATACATTTTAAACATTCATAGTTTCGGAAAAATAAATCGGGTAAAGTGGACGTATTTTTGCAATTTTTTTTTTTGCAAATGCTAAAATAAACAAAATTGTGTTCAACAATATTGGTTACAACAAAATTTTGTGGTACGCAAATAAAACCCATAAATCACCAGAATGAAAAGCAAAACAAAAATGTAACGATACAATTTTATTGGTGTGGTTCATTTTATGAAATAAATGAAATTGAAGTGTTATATGCATCTGCTATCGAGATACAATGGCTTTGGCGATAAGTCCTAGTGCACATGCAGCCCTCCAGCCACCCAGACAGTATTATCTTATCAAATTTCAAAGCTTTTACGATAGCATTTTTGGTTAGAATTAGGTAAACAATACAAATAGCTTTTAGCAAAAGTGCACTTTAGCAAATTTATTCATTTAGTTGTTATCATTGAAGCATTTTAAACGTTTTCAGTTCAAATGCAATTAGCTAAATGAAAAAGAAGTTTTTGCCGAGTAGTTAAACTCTTGTATACCCTTTAATTAATGTACATAAAATCCAATTCCAAGCAAGCATATCTATATTAAGAACCAACAACCTTCTATTTTTTGCAACTTTAACATCCAAATCGACTCGTCTTGTCACCCTGATTTGCTTGGTCTGCCACGCCTCCTTCTGTGTGTTACATGTACACTGGCACAAACTAATATACCCTTTTACCCTTTGGGTACAGGGTATAAAAACTAACTAGTAAAAATTAAAAAAAAAATTGTTTTTGTGGAAATGGCTTAGAGGTATTTAAGAGTTAAGCCTACTCGACTCCAGCATTCGTTTCTTGTTTTTAATATTGGAGGGTGACCATTCGGGCTCGTTTATTACCGCTAGCGCTAAATTGCTGTTCCCCGCACTCCCTACTCGCTCCCACTCAACTCTTGTGTATTGATCTAGGTGTGCGTTCAGGTGTATCTGCAGGCGACATCTTTGCTGTCACACACACGCACCCACAAAATTGATATGTTTTCAATAATAAAAATTCAGCCATCGGAGATTTGAGCTGAAGGACTGTGTCATATTTTTGCAGATGATGGAAAATGTCCGGGCTTAGACGTAAAGACGTATTGATGGATGGCTGATGGGCGGACTAGTGGTGGCACAGTGCAGCCCCAAGAGGGATTCAGCGGCTGCGGCATGCTCTAGAGTTGAGCAAATAGTTATAAAGCTTTGCCAGGCATAACAAAATTGTTTCAATCAATCATAAAATGCGCTTTTCCTTTGGCTATGGGCTCCGTAGTACTAGCTGTACGCCTGACAGGTCCAGGCTGGAGGGAGGACGATTTTGCGGATTGCGTCTGACAGTAATGAAAAATATGTGGAGCAGCCATAGCAGATGGACGATGGCAATGAGAATGACACTGGCAACGAGTTATATGCATATCTTTTTATATTTATATATTGCTATGGTTTTTATGATTGCTCACAAGATGAATAGTAGTTGTAGTTGTTGCTCAGATGACGGCGCCTTACCCAACAGATTAAGGACTGAGGGGTAATGCAAGAAATGCCGTATGAGTGCGTGGGTGTATGTGTGTTTTAGACGCGTTTCCATTTCTCCAACAGTTTGACAGCATTCTCGATGTTACCCGATGCTATCAAAAGGGCGGATATATTGCGATGACGATCTGAAAATCCTAATTTGTCCAGCTCTTTAGTTTGCGAGCTGAAACGTTGCTCCCAGAATCCCAGAGAATGGCTAGGTAAATACTCCAAGGCGTTCAGCGGGATTGCATTGCTCATCTTTGATGTGGCCATCGATGGTATACCGGCATCTTTGTCCACAATCCGCTTTACTGGCTGCTGTGGCAGCATCGGTTTGATCTGACGTCGTTGCATACGGCACTCCAAGATTCGCTCCGCCGAAATGGGTCCATTAAGAGATTGTGTTGCGGCCACAGAGTTCCAGATATCATCGGAGCGCGAGCGTAATATTTGCTCGAATTTCTGCCTAAAACTGGCTGACAAACGCTCATCCTTTCTGCCGAAGACGTCAAAGTAGCTGCCTATCTTGGGCTTCCAGGGATTCGGCAGCGGCTCATTGTTCTCATATCCACGTTGCGGATTTACGTTGCTCGTAGTCTTGCGGCCAGCGCGCTGATAGCGCAGGGCCACAGTATTTTCGTAGGCCTCGCACATGAAGTTGTTGATGCGATCGAGTAACTTGTAGCCGCCCGGCATAGACTCCATACGCAGCATATAGAGATCGCGGCGACGCCCAAGCTCCTGCACCTTGGCCGGATTGAAAGCCACCGAGATAATCTCACGCAAATTTCGATCACTGTTCAGATAATAGCGAAACTGTGCATTCTCCTCGATGATGCCTTTGAAGCGAATGTCGTTCTGCAGTACCTCGCGGAGTACGCCGGGATTTTCGAGAAAGAGCTTCCAGGCGAGCTTGCTCTTGGCCGCTATCAAGCTCTCAAACTGCGGATCCATGGGATCCTTGTTTCTTGTTTCTTGCGGTTTCTTGTCGCTGTTAGCTTTAGTATTGCTGCCACTGCGGCGCCCACTGCTGGCAAGTCCGAGGCCAACACAAATGATTGGTTTGGGCAGTGGACGAAACACCACATGCACAGTAACTCCCGATGTGATGCCGTGATAGGCAATGGTGCCCACATCACGCAGCAACTGTCCGCCATAAACAAGCAGGATCTTGTCAATGGCCTCCTCGAAGCGAACTGCGACCAGTGCGCGCAAGTTGTAGATGCGCTCGTTCTGGCGCAGAGAAACAATTTCCGAACGTCCGCCACTGGTCTTGGCAGTGATGTCGATTGATTTCGTCTCCATTCAGGCAGAATCAGCTAGAAGAAAGAAAGACCGAAATGAAAATGGATTAGAAATGTAATGCCTTTACACACAACTTTCTGAAAATGTGTTTTTATTTTTATTTATTGTAAATCAGCCGTCGAGCTGTTTGACATTGAGTGTTTTAAAAAATTATGCAAACTCTGATTAACAATGTACGTATTTGAGCGAAAATCCAAATCTCACTACAAACGACGTTAATATATTGAATGATAGAAGCTGTTTAGCAACACTGTTACTATACTTATAAAACTTACATAACATACACTTACCAAGACTTGTCAGTCTTTCGATTTCCGAGATGTTGCAGGTTAAAGGCCGTAAGGCAATACAAATATGCGTAGACTAACGAAATACCATATGCTTGGTTTATATTCATACAATATACAAGTATGTATATGTACATACTATGTATATGTTATCATACCAGCTCCTGACTTTTAGCTTCCTTTTATTTATTTATTAGCGTCTTTATCAAATTCTCGAAGCTTTTGAAATAATTTGTCCCAATACATATTCCGCAAAGGTTTTCTTTTTGTATTCATAACTTTAATTTGTCCACAATGCTGGCTCATTTTGTAGGCATTCATTAAATGGAAGAACAAATTCAATTTGACACGTGTTTACTCCATAAACATGTTCACACAGACGCAAGATAAAAACATTTCTATTCTTGTATGATTCATCCGATTATCTGTAAAGTTGGTTTGTATACTCTGAAAAAGAATGCAAAATAAAGAGCACACTTGTTTTTCTTTTTTGGGGGCTGGATTATTGTGGTTTGAACATTTCTTTGGGACAGACCCGAATATAGAAATTTTAATATTTAATAATTGAAGTAACATTATACGTCCTACAAATTATTTGCATGACCGTCCAGATCCCATAATTTGATCTTTGTGCCTTTGTTCCAATACAAGTATAACTTGAGCAGAGAGCTTAATTAAATGAACACTTTGATGATTGGCTTTTATACCAATCTACAAGGAATTGGATTTTCCTACCCACACACACACACACGTACACATAGTCCCCGCCCCACACCCACACAAAAATACGAGTGCATGCATTCGATGGCAAACATAAAGGCAAATGGCTTTCACAGTTTTTTTTTTATTTCTCTTTGAATTGCAGCATGCAGCGGGAATCTGAACAATAGGAACTACCCACAACAACTGCGATACAAGCAAATAAAGCCAACAAGCAAAACGGCGGCTCGACCGTACATTTCCAGTTCTGTTTGCCTAACAAGCGTGTGGCCGCTTTCCATTACGCCCAAATTAATTTCATTCGATTTCAATTAAAAGGAGACCAACAATACCGAGGCTGGAGGTTAAACGGACCCTCTGTGATACGAGTGTATTGGTTAACTAATAAAACGCATCGGCCCAGGCCACATTTATGCAGCTGCTGGAACAGAGGCAGCGACAGGGACAACAGCATTATGGGCGCCAATACTTCGAGCCGATCCGATACGAGTCTGCTCAACGATGATGATGGTAAGTGGGTAGTCTGGCCAGTGGGTGCCAGTGGCAGGTGAACTCATCCCAGTAGCCTCTTAATTACATTTACAAATAGGAATATATACGCAATTATATGTAATGTAGTTTCGATAAAAATCAAAATTAAATTGCCAGCCGCCACGCTCGCCCTCACATAAAAGCTCTGTCTTCACTGAGCTTGTCAGCATGGAGCAACTGGATGATCTGTGTCTGCTGCTTATACTCTCCTATCTGAGGCTGCCTGACCAGGTGGCCATGTTTCAGGCCTATCCGTCCATCCGGTCGCTACTGGGCAGCATGTGGCACAGGCGGCTGCACAAAATCGAGTTGAATCTGTTGCAGGTACCCATGGAATTGCAAGAATTTGAATTTCTCTTGACTCAGGCACGTGCTCAGCTACGCATCCTCAGACTTAACAATGTGGACGCTGACAAGTTTAGTTCGCTGTTGACCCATACATTCCCCGAGCTGCAGCAACTGCAAATCGACGCTCGACCACCTTTCTTTCTCAGCCGAAGCCGGCAGCGAGAGCTGCGCAAAATATTCCCGGCACGTCGGTTGATGCCACCTGCCGCAAACACGACTCCGTGCAACGCGGCTCAGTTGAATGTCAGTGTGTAGTGTGAGAGAGGGGCAATAAAAAGTGTCTCATTAAATTACAGCTAATGGACTTTTTTCATTTTCCCTTGTTCTGTGTCATTTGCAGTCAACTTTGATCATTTCCAAATACTGCGGGCCATTGGAAAAGGAAGCTTTGGCAAGGTGAGTGGTGCAACAGGAGTAGAGCCCCTAGATATTTCCTTTTGATGTAAATTACAATTTATTAGCTCAATGACTCGAATAGAATTGTGGGCCACCACAATTCAGAAAGTGAATACCTGTATATTGTTTTAAATAGAGTTTTTGCCTAACTGCTTATGCAATCTTCAAATTTTTGGCACTAGATTAAAACTGAAAACTTTATGTGATTCTGAAAACTTGACGAAACAAAAATATCGAAATAAAATTTGAATGCTTCATAAATAAAATATATTATTTGTCCGTCAATGCATTGAATATTATAATTAAATCTCATCTCTCAAAAGACATAATCTTTTCAAAGCAGGATTTACAAATATTTAATTTTCTTCCCCTACATTTTGGAGAGACGAATACTTGTTATTTAATTATAGCTTTTTAAAACTGAATATATGTATATGCTTTATGGGGTCGGAGATACTCCGTTCTCCCTGTTACATACTACCCACAAACCTGATAAGCCTTTTTAGCCTTCGGGTACAGAGTAGAAAACTCACAACTTTAAGATAAATAGGGTTTTGCGCCATTAGATGGTTATCTCGTTTCTCGTTTCAAATATGAATCTTATATTTAAAGGTTGTGAAACCACAGCTTGGATATTACTAGGGCTTTGCTTTTTGACTATCTTGCTTGTCATAGAGCCTTTTCAATATACTACATCTGGACCAATATATATAATTGCAGGTGTGCATTGTGCAGAAACGTGATAGCGGCATTTTGTATGCCATGAAATATGTAAGCCGGTCAGCTTGCGAATCGCGCGGTGCTCTTGGCGGGGTCATAAAAGAGGTTGAATTGCTCGCCTCATTGGAGCATCCATTTCTTGTAAATTTATGGTTTTCTTTTCAAGGTAAGTTACATATATATGCATACTATATATACATATATTTATATGGGACTACCTGTGGCGGGTGCTCAACGCGTCCTTGCTGATTGGCAATCAAAATGCAAATTAACCTCATGCATTTCGACATATTCTCTTGAGCCGGCACACACACACACACTTCCTCATACTTCCTCACAATTCCCATATATCCTTTATGTACGTTTGTATCCCTTTATCACACGTTACAGACGAGGAAGATTTATTCATGGTCTGCGACCTGTTGACAGGCGGTGATTTAAGATATCATTTACAAAACCGGGTAAGTTAGTTGTTTAAATTTTATAGCCCCACAACTGTCGGTGGCCTACTAACGATGTCACATCCTTTTGCTTGTCACCAGGTGGAATTTTCAGAGCAGAGCGTGGCCTTATTAGTTTGCGAGCTGGGTAGTGCGTTGGAGTACTTGCAAACGCAGCGTGTTGTCCACAGGGATATCAAGCCGGATAATATTCTATTGGATGATGCCGGTAAGAACGCATAAACACAGACACACACACACACACAATTACACACAGCTATGCGACTTACAAACTTTGCTGTTAGCCAAATTCTTACCAAAACAGTGTCCGAACACGGTCTGCCACCATAATTCATTATAATGTTTGTTGCTCTCTCAAGCTGAAGCATTTATTGATTTTATTCATGCAAAGTTTTGACACACACTCAAGTGGATCTCTTTGGGGTTCTCATGAGTGAAAATTCGCAACAAGCACGCATTATTCATAACCTACCCCCCTTAACCATTTCCCAACCACATCACATTATCAACGGTCTAGCCAGGTGTTTGAAATTATACATTTATGCGTGTTTGCCATTCATACGAGTATATACGAGACATATATACATACGTGTACACCGCAACCCATATGCGGTCTTTGTTGACAGTTCGATGTGTTGCGGTGAGTCGACATCGGAGTACTGGCATAAGGTATAGCCAGCATATCAGAAGGCAATTTATGTGTGTGGTCGACTTTGATTGAGACATGAGACAGGCTCATTTTAGTATTTGTGTGTCACGGGGGAGATGTGCATATCTGTTGTAGTAACTTTAAATTGAAGGATATATTCTTGTTGAAAATTTAAAATTTGTTAAAAAATATAAGAGTATTATATATACGTTGTTTGCATTACAAGCATTTTCATATAGACTTGTAGATAATCAAAAATTTTCTACTTTTGTTTGCGATCCAAAATATTGATATGCCGGATAGAACGTTGACTTGAACTCTGAAGCTACACAGTATATCATTCTTTTATTATTTAATTATCGATTTCATTCTTATACACACATATGTATATACAAGGGCGTATGTAGCTTTTACCAAGGGAGGGGGCCAACAAATTTAAAAAAAGCACGATGCATTTAAAAAATAATTTATGTATATGATCAATGAAAAAACTTCAACAAATCCACCTAAGTTCCATTCCATGATTAAAGCAGATATTGGTGCTTGAAATGGCTTCTATTAGATAGAGAACTGTGGTTTTACTTTAACATTGAGTTTAGAGTTTAAATAATCAATATGATTTAATCATCCTGGTGCTTAAAGTGGCTTCAACTAAGTGCTCCGCATGAGAAGCACAGAGCAGAGCTCCGTTTTTTTTTTTAACTTCCGTAAAGACTTCTTTATATTTCTACGGAGCATTAACAAGCGGTCCCCAGTATCAACCATCTCCCACCTTCACGAACCTGTTTTGTAAACCCTTCAAAATGTTTCAGTGCAATATATTCATCTATAATTATAAAATAAAGTGGGTGTATCGCCAACTTGATCATTAAAAACACGCTGCGCTTAATGGGCAATAATTTTCAGGCTAGCGCGCACACAAATAACACGTTGCAACAGAAACTAAAACAAAGCTAGAACTAGCAAAAATCCACTTAAAATCAAAACAGCATCCACTCACACACCCACACACACATAAACTCTCTAACGAAGGCATCGCAATTAAGTACGTGCGCTTAATTTTAGGACACGCTCATTTGACTGATTTTAATATTGCAACGAGACTTCAGAAGGATGGCCTAGCCTGCAGTATGTCGGGGACCAAGCCATACATGGCGCCGGAGGTGTTCATGTGTGCGTTAGATGAAGTTGGTAAGCGGAATAAAAAAACAAACTAAATGCAAACAAAACAAACAAAAAAGTAGGAAATAGAGTAAACACGTACGTACGAGTAGAGCGGAAGAGAGCTAAGGCGGAAATCAAATTAAACTCGCGCCATGCTAAAGCAACAACAATTCGAGACAAATTGAAAGCATTCGTTTCCTCTCTTTTCCAATTTCATTTTCAGCTGGCTATAGCTTTCCGGTGGACTGGTGGTCCCTGGGTGTTGTGGCCTATGAAATGCGCGCAAATACACGCCCGTTTGTCGTGCACTCGAACACCCCCCTAGTGGAGATCAAACACATCCTAAACACACCCGTACACTATCCCAGATACTGGGGCAGCAATTTCATCGATTTGCTGACCAAGGTAAGCATAAGCGTACATATTCATATACTCTTTACAAAGAGGTATATCAAATGACAATACACTGTAGGCTTAGTCTCGCGAAGAATGCAAATAAAATTGTATCTCTGAATTTGATAGCGACCCCCTTGAATTAAGTACTTTTAGTTAAAGGATCTAAGTTTAAGCTGCCTTAGAGCATTTTTTCATATTATTGATCAGTAAGTCAACACGAGTCGATGTAGTCTTTTTCGTGTGTATGTCCGTATAAACCCAAGGATCTCAAAAAGTAAAAGAGCTGGAATAACCAATACTGGTTTCCAGATTATCCTGAGCCCATTTATTTTAGTGTCACCATATCTAATAGGATGTTACCATACCGGCTACTTGTGAGCTTCCATGTGAAATGTAGAATGACTTTATCTTCCTAACAAAAGTTAATTTCCTTTAGCTTTACCAACTGAAACTCTATACATAATTATATACTCTTCTCTGTATAGTTACTGTGTGTGCATCCGGGTGCACGGATCAGCACCCAACAGGAGCTGCAACAGACCCCATTGCTGCGACACACCGATTTTCAACACGTGCTGGACAAAAAGACAAAACCAACATTTAAGCCACCCGAGGATCATCTTAATTGCGACCCCTGTCTGGAACTGGAGGAGATGATTGTGGAGACCCGCCCGCTGCACAAAAAGAAGAAGCGTCTGGCTAAGCAGCGGTCAGCGCAACGCGACAGCGATCCCGAGACTGTGCTCATAAAGGAGTTCATTGTGTACAATCGGTACAAGGAGCTCAAACGGAAGGCCATGGAGCAAAAGGAAAACGACTGGCAGCGAGAGCTGGAACTGGCCATGGCCAACTCAATAGTCAATAGTTTGGCACCTATTCAAGAAGCAGCGCCCTCGGCGCCAGTGGCAGCCGCCTGCGCCAAATGTGCGGCTACGAAACCATCGAAAGAAAGTGATAGCATTGAATTTATAGATCGCACACCATCGCCGCAGTCAGCCGTCACATCGACGCCCACTAAGGGGGCTGGGGGTACGAATGCAGCCACTTCTGCAACTGCTATTGTTGTTCCCAGCAAGACGGACCAGGCAGCAACAGCAGCACCATCGCATAAATGAAAGTTTCCACTACCTTGTTGCTAAAATGAAACGAATTTCCCCCCCAAGATTTCAATGCAATTAGTGCAAAATAGTTACGAATTAACCGACCCATCACCTCAAGGCACCAAAACACACCTCCACTATAGGTTTCAGCCCGAACCAAAACAGACAGCAACTTCAAGAGCCTAATATAAGTATTATCGCATACATAATTGTTTCCAAATATCTACCACAAAACACGCGCTGAATTGAAATGTTGTAAATACATAGTTGTATAATGGCTACTTAATATTAAGATATTCCTAGTGCTTAAGTTCCTTTTGTACATATTGTTAGATGTTAGCAAAAAATCAAAATAAATATAATGTGCACAAATCAATGACGAGCTGACGTATATACGTTTCTTTGAGTTATAATATCAGAACTTAACACAGCACCAATAACTTAACTTCGAGTGGATATAAATTGAGATAAGTAGTAAGTAGAGGATATTGGACTACAAAAATACATTCCTTATGATCCTGATCTCTCCGAAAATAGGAAAATTAAATCGTAAATAGCGATTTAGAATAAAACGCCATCCATGTTTTCCATTTTTTTTAAGTTTTTATTTCAAGTTATATTTCATTCATGTTTCACATAAGTTCTTTTTTAATGCTTTTTCTTTGTATAAAAAAGAGAGTAAATAATTATGTTTTGTATAATATAAGTTGTTGTTTTTGTTGTTTCCACGCGTTTGTTGTTCTTTCTTTCATGTTGTTAAAATATATGGATGTTGTATGTTATGGTATTTATGTGTTTGTCGGGAAACACTAACCAAATTCAAATAGTTTTTTTTTTGTTTTATATTCATTTTTCAGCAAAAATGCAACATGTTAATAGGTTTTATGTTAATTCATTTTGTTTGCACATTTTTGGGCCTTTGCGTTTTTATATTAAATAATGAATTGAACTTTCTAAACAAGAGCCTCCAACAAATGCAAACGACGCATCGTAGCTGCGTGGTGGGCCCAAACAAAAGCAGCTCAACTGCTTTATAGGATCACAAGAGCGGACGAGTGCGAGGTTGCACAAGAGGCAGGCATGTGAGAATAGAAATTGTGTGAATGAGAAATTATTGTTTACATTGGCAAAGTCAGAAGAACAAGTTAGTGAAGGGATTTATTATTATAAAATGTAAATTAAGTTGAAATTTTGTTCCACTTGAATCTGTGGAACGAGTATCTCTCATTTAAGTTTCATGAACAATTTTAGTGAATTTTTCGTTTTGTTTTCTTATCAACAAAAACAAATGCAATTGTTTAGAAAGCGTCAGTAGCAAATATTTTTTCCTGTTTTCCTTCAATTTTGCAAATGCAAAAGAATCTAATTTTGTGTGTGTGTGTAGAAAATTGTGTTTGAAAATTAAGTTTTCGCTGTTATTGTTTTTGTCGTTTTGGTTTGTTGTGTTAGAATGAAGGAGAAGAAACTACAAGCTGTAAATTATGATTTTTGTGTAGGGGTGTGAGCGAATTGTGTACTTTGTGTGTTTTTGTATGTTTGTTTTTCTGCCTTTTTTGAGGAGTTCGCGTATTGTTGTCATTTCTCTTCGGTATTCTCTAAACAAAATGTTACTCTTTTTCGTTGAACTCCAAGCGCAGCGCTGTCGGCGGTAATCCGCCGCAGCTTTTTCATAGCTGCATTTACGGCTTGATCATACTATACCGTGGTGGTATCGACAGACTCAATGCGTGCAGCACCTGTATCATTTCCACCACCTACGGTACCACCTTCGCCGTTGAGGGCTCCGCCGGCATTCACTTCATCGCCATCATTGCCAACGGCAGCATTAGCACCACCCTTTTTGGCGCCAAATTTAATAAGCTCCACATTGACATTAATGGTCTTCGTTTGCAATGGAGTTGCATTCTCGGTTGGTGCCTCCTTCGAGGCAACATCACCACCCTCGGCTGCTGTTGAGTCACCACCCCCGGTGGTGATAGTAAGCGAGAGATCGTTCAACGATTTAAGCACCTTATCGACGTCATCCTGAGTGCTTGGTGTACCATTTCTGTTGCCAAAGTGCAAGAAACACTTGCCAAAGTGACCTGAAAATAATTGTATTGGTCTTAAAAAGGAATTTCTTAGGAAATGTTATTTTATTGTGAAACCTACCTTTCCATGTGATTGCATTCGGGTTGCATTCGCGCTTGCGTAGCTCCGACTTCAAATCCTTAACGCGAATTTCACGCGTCAAGTTTGTCAATTTAACACAGAAATCACGAGGCGGACGAGGCTTAATTTTCTTCTGACGGCGCTCATTGCCGCCAGCCTCATCAAACTTGCGATCTTCACTCTTAGCACCGCCCTCAACACCAGACTGATCGCCCTCAGACTATAACGAAAAAGAAAACAAACACACATAGTATGATTACATTACTCCTTACTGTGGCTGATCAAGCCAATTCATACCTTAGTTGGACGCCTGCGGCGGTTAAGGAAACGTCTGTTGCGACGTTGTGTGCGCTTTTGCACATTTTCCTAAAATTAAAACAAAATCGCATTAAAAAAATTTCTAATGTAGAGCTTTATATAATCCACACTTACGCCTTGCTGTTCGTTGTCAGTCTGTGAGGTGGTGCGTCCTGGGTGTCTTCGTTGGAAGCGACGACGCAGTGGTCCACGGCGGCGTCTACTGTTTTGATTCTGTTCAACATCGGTGTCCTCCTCCTTTAGGGTTATAGTTTTGCCACCCTTCTCTTGCTGCTCCTTGAGTTGTTGCAGTACAGGCAAGATCTTCAAGCGGCGCTCGGACAAAAGCTCCCAGAAAACTCCGCTGGGACGTGGCAAACGTTTGGCCACACGAATTATCTCGGTGGGCGTAACTATCAAATCCACAGGTGTATCGTATTTCTGGAACAGATTAGTTGGCAGCGAATCCACCACTTGCAAGTCATGCACAATCGTTACAATAACTGTCTCCGGTGTTATGGCTCCCAGTTCAATGAGCAATCCAATATCCAAGTCGGCAAACCCATTGCCACGTCCAATGCGATAACCATCACGTGAAACAACCACGGAGCCAATAACCACAAGATCGAGCTTCAGATTGCTATCAAGACCTATGTCAAAGAATCAGGATAATAAGCTCTTAAATCTCTTCTCATTACAACTGACCGCAGAGAACCTACCAATTTCAGTACGGTATTTTTGTATGTCCTGCACGCGCAAAGCTTCCTTTTTCTGCTCCTCGGTGGCATCCACCGGTACATCTACCTTTAAACAAACCGCAGATGACTCGCGTGTGCTTGGCAAATAAACCGATTTATTGGCCAACGTAGCCTTCTCCTTAAAATCGTGCAAGGCGCGATCAATGTTCACCCTGATGTGCTCTGGATGTGCAAAGAGAACCATGTTAGGGATTATTTTCAAAAAGAGGGAGCATATATAATCTCAACTTACGTGCTTTCTTGAACTCCTCCTCCTGAATGAACAATCCAGCTGCCTTATCGGCATCCACGAACGCAGGAATGCGATTAAATATGCTGTTGAAACCAATGCCAACCTTACCCTCCTGAATCTTCTTCCAGGTCTGCACGCGCAATGAGCGCTTTGTGGGCTCAGCGGGCTGGGCTGCAGGAGTAGCGTAAAAGGTGAAATAATGTAAATGTTTATGCCTATTGCTTTTTGTTTGTTTTCATCTAGGTTTCTGTGGCTGTTGATGGATGGCGTATGAAGCTAAAAATATACCCAAACAAGTATAATGCTTCAGCTTGCTATGATGATCTGCTTACGGTGGCTCCTCTGCTGCCAGGGCTGGCAAGCAGATTACACGTGAACCGTTAAGCATCGCTATCAAAATCAGATGCAACAAATTCATTCGATTTGCATGACAGTCTTATCGCTGACCCCTAATTTCACACTTGCACGTTATCACACATTCTTTATGTTTGACAAAGTGTTCCTATTTATGTTAGGGCCTTTTTAAACGGGCGTGGGCCCAAATTAAAAAAAGAAGAAAACATAGTTGGGTCCAACATCAAGATAGCACTTATATTAAACAAATACAGCACAGAAACACAGAAATTCCATCGGAGTTGCCACCTAGCGTAACAGCAGCAAAAAGTTCATACGATTTGTGAGCCACTATATTTATTAACGGCGTATTGGACGACTATACACTATTTACGGACGCAATTACGTGTGCGTGTTTAAAAAGCCAATTGGAAAACATTAAAATATCGATATTGACGCATGACCAATAAGTTGGCAACACTAAAGTACATTAACTCTCATAAACATACACACATATGTACATATATCAAACACTCTCATGCACACGCAACTCACACACATACAGCGACATTTCTTGGCGATGAGCGCATCAAAACGCGCGAATTTTTCAATTAATATGTACATTTATACTTATGTATGTGTGTAGATCTAGAGGGGAGGTTGTAGGGACAAGCGGTTTGCATAGAAAATGACATTAACATTAGTTCGACTACAAAAAATGGGCCAAGACCACAAAAGAGAAAAAGCCAGCGCCGAATATGAATGAATCACATAGCAGCACTATCATCGTGCTCAAATTGGTAATTGGTGTTGTACATTAAACATGTTGAGCATAAGAATGCGTACCGCGATGACGTAATTATTAATGGCAACAACACAAACATGGAGCGAACAACAAAATAGTGAGCATGCATATGTATGTATTTTCATATTTGAATATACATATGTATGTATGAGTATGTGTATACACATTTGTAACACGACTTTGTTATTTCTGCCTCTGCTTGTCCGCTGTCAATTTTACAGTTTGGACAACGGATGACAGTCCTACCAAAAAGGGAGAAAAATTATTATTAACCGTTTGAATTACATTAGAACAAAAAAAAATATGGCGGCAATTTTGACAAGTTTGCAAAAAAAACTACGTCAAATTTCAAATATGGCCGCAAATAGAAAAAAATCGCACGGAGACTGCAGCTGCGCCTATGCCCTTGAACCAATTTTAATGCTTTGGAAAAGTATGGCATTTAGCGTGAAAATTCGGATTATACGCGCGCTGCATTACAAATATTCATAAAAAAAAACGCCCCAGCTAAGAACAAGCACAAGCAAATATAAGATTTTTCTATTTTTTGTCCCCTTACCACTACAACTTACTTGTCGACGATACTTCCTGCGCTGCAGTGGCGCCATTCTCCACGGCGGCGGCAGCTGGAGCTGCGTTGCTTTGATTTTCCATTGTTTTTTATTTCCTAGTTGTGTATTAAACCTCTATGTTGTATTTTTTCTTTAATACAAATATTTTTCACTATTTTACACAACTTAATTACACAGAGCAAAGCAACGACCAACTTCTCCGGCTGCTTCTTCCAACAAACCACACCACGTTTCTCACACGACGAAATTTATTGCAAGTAGCAGAAGCGAAACAAACGAGCCGCTTGAGTAGTCTATGGTTTGCTCTGTCTAGCACACACAATTGGCAAGAGCGCAAAAAGCGGCTTTTTCTGTTCGATTAGTGTAGTTTTAAGTGAAAAATAAACTAATCACAATCAAACGAATGCAGCACAATTAACGTAAAAAATAAATTTACTAACGTACAATCCCTCACACACTTTGCAACGGAATGACGGGCTCAATCTGATCTGCTATTGAATTTGTGTTGACAGAAAATGAAATGGAAGGAAATTACTGCACAAGTAGTGATGGAAGCAGACTAAACTTAAGAAGGATACCATCTCTAACATATTCAGAGTGACCATGCTCGACTGAAAGAAAATACTAAGTTAAAAATAATTTCAAAAAACAGTTCTTCGGCTAAATTCAGTTTATAATAGGTTCCAATAAATAACGAAGTATTAAATATTTACAAATATTAAGTAAAAACCGCAGAATCGTAGACATCACAATTAAGATTATAAAAGGTAGCTTTGATACATATGTATATGTATTATATTCTCTGCAACTGCAGATAAAACAGCATCCTTTTCGAACCATTTGGAAATGGTCATATATAGTATGTATGTACGTTTAATTCAACGTATAGTTTGGGACATATGCAATGGCGTCACCATCAGTGTCAACTCAGCGTCCTTAAGATTAGCACCACGTAAATTGGCTTCCTGTAAGTCACTACCGGACAGGTTACAACGTTCTAAATCGGCTCCAGCAAGCACAGCTGCACGCAAATTGCAATTTTTCATATTTGCGTCCTTGAGATTTGCCACACGCAGGTTAACACCTGTAAGAAAAAAATCACAAAAATGTATAGTCTAAGGGCTTGTGAAATTTCTATATTAAATTGTTATTAGTATGTTCTGCTACACACCAGACATATTACTACTCTCCAGACATGCTCCTTTAAGGTTTACTCCCTCCAGATTTGTGCGAACTCCTGTAGGATCTTCGAAATTGCACCCACGTAAATTTGCCCCTTCCATATTTGCGCATAATCCTCGCACCGATACCAACTGGGCACACCTGCAATATGCAAAATAAAAAAACTAAACAAATTTAACAAATAATAAATAATACATACTCCAAGTTGGCGTACTGAAGGTCCGTCCGTTCTAAGCAGCAATAGGTAAGGTTTGCATGGGAAAGATTGCAGTGCGACATGTTGGCGTACTACATATAGTTAAAACGATAGTTACATACTTATAAAACAGAATTTCACAGATAACGATACGCACTTTAAAATTAATATTGCGAAAATCTAACTTGCGCAAGTCAGCACCTGAAAGATTTACCCCTTGGAAACGGAGCTCTGTGGTTACAGAAGTCTGTATTATGGCCTTTATAACATCCATGCGGGTCAGTGGCCTATCATCTAGTGGTTGATCTTCTTGCGCCAAAAGCTCCTCCAAATGTGCTACCAAAGAATATATACCAAAGAACCGTGCCTCGGCCAACACACCTTTTACGCTTATATTGTCGTCGCATATAAACTGGCCATGTCGCAAATAATTGATTATCGGCTCAAAATAGCGTGGACTTCTGTCGATCAAATAGGCACCCTGTTCATCTTTTTCACTGGGTTGCATTGCTCCATTTTGGAGAAACATGCGAGCTAGCATTGAGTCGGGCTCTCTCCCAACCAGTGTGTCCAGTGTCGTTGTATAGACTTTACCTCCGACGTTCAGCTTCACCCACTTGTTAGAAGGGAAACTCAAGGACTCTAGCGCTCCTGAACTGCTTTCCTTTGAATCATTGTCCATTTATTTTTGCAATATTTTTAACTTCCCTTATTTCTGTTGGTACAGCTGATCGCTTATTCTTATTGCAAACAATGAAAACCCACCAGCTGGTGGATGTTTAGAATAATCGATAGGTATATTTGAATCACTGTAGCGCATTAGTGTTGCAAAATTTCATACAGTGATTTAAGTATTTCTAAACGTATTTATTTATTTTTTATTTTACACTTTAATTTACACAACTAATTATTTTTATATATGTTTTTTTAACGTATAAAAGGCTTATTATGGAAATAAATTTTAAGTAAATTTGAATATAGTTTCGCCTTGTCATGCTGTTCAAGAATATATGCATGCTGATAATGTATATGAAGTCGGAGATGCTTCCTTTTGTATGTAACAAATATTGCACTATAAAATATTTACCGTCCAGGTACACGGTCCAAAAAACCGCCTTAAACTTCTACCTCCTAGATGGTGTTGGAAAAGAGTTTTAATATTATCGCCCAAAATTTTTACACAAGCCAGCTTCCGGTAGAAAGTGTCTTCTGGACCCAGTTATTCTTTTTCGTATTCACACAATCGAAATTTGTCATTAGGCACTTCAACCGACAATAATCGATAGCCAGGACTATGTTATCGTCCCTATGTTAGTGTTGCAAAGATATTAAAGGTTGCATCTGACGTCGCCATGTATATATAAATACGACTTGGTGCTCTAACAAATTGATGTGTAATTAACTTTATTTGAAGGAAAAGTAAAGTGAACCAGACTCGAATTTATAGCTCTTCAAGGAAATTGAGAAAATGACGACGGCCGATCGTTCTAGCGGCAGCGGCACTCAACGTGGGGTCAGTCGTGTACTGGCCAAACTAGAGAACTCCTTGGCGGAGGGCGAATTTTACGAAGCCCACCAAATGTATAGAACGTTATATTTCCGTTACACAACACAAAAGAAATACCAGGATTGCTTAGATCTGCTGTTTGATGGAGCACAGAAACTAATTGCGAGGGAGCAAGAGGACAGTGCCGTCGATTTATGTCTTCTCCTGGTTGATACACTGGAGAAACGTGGCACACAGCATGAGGATAACGACAACTTTCTGTGGGTTCCGCGGCTTGGTGCGTTGATACGCGGCCTTAGCGCGCGCACAGTCGAACGCGAGACTCTGATTGTAAGTCTTTATGTCTTTAAAAGTCTTCATAATCACTAATCGTCCACTTATAGCAACGCGCTGTTAAATGGAGCGTGACCACCCACGGGCAGTATGGTCATCCACTTTTGCATAAGCTAATTGCACATGTCTTCTGGACTGAAGGCAATATCGAATCCGCTCGTCATCATTATCTACTCTGCCAGGATGGCAGCTTATGTGGACGTGTTTTGATTGATATTAGTCAAACCAAGGGTTTCAAAAGCGAGGTCGATCTGTTTCTGGTTCAGGCGGTGCTGCAGCAGCTGTGTCTCAGGGAAAGGAAAACTGCAGAGGACACGTTTAAGGAGTATACACGATATCATGAGAAACTATTGAGACACGAGTTCCCATTTAAAGAGCCGCTGGTCAATTTTCTTTATTTTCTGTTTCGGCTCATCGAGACAAAAAGCGTCACCGGCTTCCGGGCGTTGCGCAAGCTTTACGATCCGTCTTTAAAGCGAGACACTTCGTTTCTGAAATATATTGGTAAGATCGGTGTTATTTACTTTGGTGAAGTGCCCGAGCAGACGCATGTTGGCCCTACAGGCCTCGGAGGTATGTTTGGCGATATATTCAACCGGTTGATGCAAGGATTCGATGAAGAAGATGAGGAGGCAGGTTCAACGCCTAATTCCAACAACGAGCTTGACTAGCAGCAGCCGCATTGGCATTGGGAATGGCAGTGGGCAACGACATGGTTCTTACTAGTTTTGTGCTCTTTTAGTGGACGAACCTCATTGGCACTTATACACCGGGCTTTCCTTTGCATTGTTATTATTTTAATATTTTGTATTCAAAATAATTACATCTAACACTTTAACTGTAGACACCATACTTGCAATGTAGATTTACATAAAGTTTGAGCGTTGAATTAAAAGAATAAAATATATTTGCTAAATAAACCAATGTTTAGTAATTGATGTATTTGGTTTTAATGATTAATTAGCTTAGAATCCTGTTTGTGGTTTAAAATTAGTTTGAAGAAAACCTTCAAATTAAATACTGTTCTGTAAAAAATACCAATGGTTTACATAAAGGGAGCGTGCCCATCCCTAATATTGCACGTTGCAGCAGAGCTGCCAACTCATTAAAACTCCAAATATTGTTTAACACAATCAAAAATTATTCGCACCAACTGCCGAAGTGGCCGGGTTGACAGCTCGGCAAGAAGCAACAACAACACGAGTTTATTTTAGAATCTGAATATATTTCAAGTTCATATACAATTCATATTTAGCAGTAGTTTGAAAAAGGTATAATTTTCCGTAAAAATTGAACCATTGCTGAGCTCAGACGAGTGCCGATATTAGCGAGCAGAGGCAAAGGCGACAGCGCAGAGTAAGCAACATTGAAGCAAGTGCACATCCACAGGGACACACAACACTAATACTTGCGAAAACTTGCAGCATAATGGATGAAAATGCAGCGCCCACTGTTGACGCTGCAACTTGCACCGGCAATGACAGAACTCCAACCGATACTACAATCACATTGCAGCAGCATCACCAGCAGCAGCCGCCAGTGCTGAAACCAGCACACGCGGAGCCAGAGCTTGTTGGGGACAGCTCTAAGGCACGGGACAAAGCAGAGACCGCTAATGTTGCCACGTCAACAACACTGTCGGTAGATGCGACTGCGGAACAGGAACGATGCTGTTGGATATGCTTTGCCACAGATGAGGATAATCGGCTGGCTGCCTGGGTGCAGCCATGCCAGTGCCGTGGTACTACCAAATGGGTGCACCAGAGCTGCCTATATCGCTGGATCGACGAAAAGCAGAAGGGCAATGCACTGCGCTCAGTGGCCTGCCAACAATGTCAGACAGAGTACATCATAGTTTTCCCACAAATGGGCAAATTTGGTGGCGCTTTAGAAACCCTTGATAATCTGATTAAGCGTGTGAGTCCATTCTTGGCAGCGGGCTTCTTTGTAGGCTCTCTCTACTGGACAGCCGTGACCTATGGCGCGGTAACATTCTTGCAAGTAAGCTAAGCCATACCAGGAAAAGTTCTTGAGTTGCTATCAAGTGTGTAACTATTGCAGATCGTTGGCCACGAGCACGGCATGTCCATTATGGAAGCTGGTGATCCGCTAATATTGCTCATAGGCTTGCCCGCTATACCAGTAGGCCTAGTATTGGGTCGCATGATTCGTTGGGAGGATGCAATTTTGCGTTTGATACGCAACCGTCGCACAGTAGTTCGCAAATTTCCATTTGTAAATTTAATTTATCCCAGTCTGTAAGTACACCTGATTATTATATAATTTGTTTTGTTTGTTATTGGCAAGCGAAACAATTGCGCCATCGGTTTTTATTGGCACTGATAATAATGCCATTCTTTTTCGCACTTTGGCCTTTAGTGAACAGGAGGAGGAACAACATACAACCACCAATCCGGCAACGCCGACACTGTCGGATCCCGTGTCTGCCACTCGCGTCTTTTGCGGTGCACTGCTTTTGCCGACAATCTCGTCAATTGTTGGACGCATACTTTTTGATTCTGTGGAGAATACGCTTCATCGCACACTGCTTGGCGGTCTCACTTTTATAACCGTTAAGGGCATACTAAAGATCTATCTGAAACAGAAGCAATATGCACGACGCAAGAAGCGTCGTATCGTCGACTACACGGAGGAAAACATTCGAAATTTTGTACACCCACGCACTAACAATAACAACGGCAATCATGGACAGCAGCGTCAACAGCATCATCTAGGTGGTGGAGGAGGTGGTGGTGGTGGAGGCGCTGGCGCTGCCCATGCACCCGTCTTGCAACAGATGCCCATGTCAAGACTCGCCGCCGGTTCCCGTGAACGTGATGGCGATGGTGGCAGCGTAGTGTAGATGTTGCTGTTGGGACTGTTGCCGGTGCTGTGAATTGCAAACATTTTAGTTTATCACTTTTCTATGTACTTCAGATTTGCTTTGCGTTAATTGTTGAAACTAACTAAACACACAAAACACATAAACTAATATGCACACCACACATACACTTCAATTCTTGTTTGACATGCAAGCTAAACAAAATTCATTGTTAAAGTGCATTCGAGGGCATGTGGAATAGCCTGACAATTGTGCTAAGGCAGCCGCAGTTGCTTTGCCAAATTTTTGTTAACATTAATAAGATATTTAACTTTGTTAAGCATAATATTAACTAACCACTTGTAGGATATTCCCATTGAGATGCAATCCATTGCTATTTGTTGCATTATCTGACCCATTTCGAAATTTAAGGTATGCTTGAAGCATATCCTTGCTAGCAAGTGAAATATCGTTTACAACTCAATTTTAAGTTCAATCATTTTGGGTTTTGAATATTTTCAAGTGGGAATAACCTATTAGCTAGTAAATACAATATTTCTAGAATGTCCTGTATACATATATGTAATCTTTATATATATATGCTTCCATTTGTAAAATCCAATGTATCAACGCCATTTTGTAAGTCACATACTGGTTAAATGCCTTATGTAAATAAAATAAACTCACGGTTATTGCTGGGTTTTATGCCATAATGCCTATCAACTCAAATATAACTAAGCTAACATGTCAGTCAGTTTTGTTCATTGAATGCAAAAATTTCTGAATTACTGATTATTAAGTATAAAAAATGATGTCAACTGCAACTCAACAACAAATCTTAAAGATCAATAATTTCTCAACATTGTTAGGTAGACATAAACAGATTTTAGAACTTTTTTAGATAGTCGAAAACGTTTGTCCCCGAAAATAGCATTTAAACCTTATTAAAGCAAACATTTTCACAGATATTTGCTATTCAAATGAACAAAACTGGTTCTATATCATTATACTTATTTCAAAAATAAGCCGAGCTATTGGTCATCCAGGATCAATGTTCGCGGCCCACTAGTAATGCAAATGCATCAGATATGGCTACAACTTTTTTAATATGCAATTTTGTTCCCATATCATTAAAAATAAACCAAATATCGTTTTTATGATTATTTTCCAATTGAATATTGGGTATCCCCTACAATTGACTGGAAATTCCAAAAGACGTACCAGATGGAATCGAAATTTAATACAATGAACTTAATGTATCAGACAACCTAATGTATCCACGTATTATGTATATATGTCTTAAAACTCTCCGCACAACTACTAATCTTATACCTTTTCTCTTATTTATGATGAGCTAGCAAGAGCTAAATTTTCTTCAAGCTGCCTGACTGAAGTGAGTCTTCCATATACTATATATTTATGTATCTCCATATATAGTGGAACTCGTACCCTCTTGGAAATTACGCAAAAAAAGTCGCTCTCAAATCAAAACAATGACAACAACAACTAAATACTTATTGTATAATTAAGTGCAATGTGCGCTTGTTATTTACACTCGCATTTGCTTTTATTGAAAAGAGATTTGCACTTGTGGTGATTAGATAAGCCGTCGCTGGTTCCGAGACCATAAAAGATTTTGCGTGTTTACTCGGCTGGTTCTATGCTGACCCCGTAAAAAAGAAAATACGAAAAGGTAGGGGTAAATGCATGCGGCGCGCTTAAAACTTTTATTATGGCGATTATAATCGCGCATTGCAAGAAAGTGTGAATAATTTGTTTATTCAAAGCTCACGTCTACTTAACCGCTGCTGAGTCATAGTCCCAAGACTGACTAATAATGAACCCACAATGACCCCCGAGTGTTGTGAATAAATGATACAAATAATTGCTGAGTCCACCATTGAAGTAGACTCTATATTGGCCATATGTATATATTGCTTGCATATCTATCAGATACATCTTGTCTCAGAATGATTGTACTTTGTATCTAGCTCTAGGGAATTGCGCAGCTGTCAAACCATCTATCACATCGAAGCTACAGCACATACAAAAGATACTGTTAAACACCGAACCAAAGTGAATGCTCTAAAAAGCGATCTAATCATTTATAATTGTTAGCAACTTTTGTGTTTGTTTTGTCTATTTACGCTTATCATCGACATACAGGTAGAGGAGCACAGATACTTGCACACATACATGCACACACGTATAACAAAAGTGGGAAAGCTACGGTCGTGCGAGCTCAACTATTGGATACCTTGCAGCTTATACATACCTCTGTACCAGGGACTATTATATATTTAGATATAACTTTCAAATGTTAGTTTAATGTTATACTTGACTAGTTAATTTTAAAAATTTAGCTCGGAATAAAAAAGATTTTAAGAACTTTTTAATTAAAATAAATTAAAAAGAATGTCACTAAATTTTTGGTTTCCATTTTAGACAAATGTCACCCTATCTGTTCCGGATGTTAATTTATTTCGTACGAACATACTATGTATAATATAAGTATATAATATATAATATATATAATATAAGTATGTAGTCAAGCCCTAGAACATTATTTAATGTGATTGTAAAGCTTTTTTCTACTCTTTGTTAAAGAAAAAATCTGCAGACTATTTTTCTGGAGCCCCTGCGCCGTCCCTATGCGCTTAACTGAAGTGTTAACTGGGTAGGCAGCGCATTAAAATTGGTCCGGGCGGCAGGTTGCTTAAAAAGTTACGACCAATACACTCACACATACGCACACACGGACATACACACGACGAACACTGAACACTGACGTGTGAAACCCACCTGTTTGGTTTTTCAGGAACGAACGCTTGCGGGTGTGCTTCGGGGGTCGCTAACAACACTCACATGCTCTTGCGAACTGCTTGCTTTCTTTCTTTCCTTCTTTCGTACTTGCTTGTTGTTGCTGCTGTTACGGGAGCAACAGCAACAACATCTCTCATCTGTTTTGTTCTTTGTCACTGACTGCCGAACGAACGAACAACCGAACGACTTTTGGGGTTTGACGTTGGGGGCAAGCCTAACGTAACGAATCGAAACGCTGGAGTGGAGTCGGCTGAAGTCGCTTGTCGTTCGTTATATCAGCGTTGTTGTTGTTGTTAACTGAGTTTGTCACTTGACGGTTTATACGGCGAAGATTTTGGACCTGGCCACTAGTCGCAGACTTTATATAGCTGGCAGAGCACGCGCAGTGTCGTTGACGGCGGCGATTTTTGGCCTTTTTTTATATTTTGATAAAAACAAACAAAAAACATATGTTTAAACACACAGACAACAACACTTGTACACATGTATGTACATATATAATACATACTATATGTATTTTTTGATCGTCGGCTGGTACTCTTATTATCAATAAACGAAATGAACTAAGTCGAGTTGTTATTATTGTTGTTGTCGCTGCTGCACTCGAGTTGCCGACCAACCGACCGACCAACCATTATACGCGCCCGTTCTCAGAAGTCATTTAAGCGTCGTGCTTCACGCAACTGTTGTTTGTTTAACTTCTCAGTGTCTGTGTGTTTATGTGATATTAAGACTGAAATAAATCCACGCAAATATTGTCAATTGGCACCCATAATTATCAGACTGTACAACATAATGAGTAACACAATGACCGCGGCGCATGAAAGTCCCATTTCGTACCTGGACAATATTCTGAAGGAGGAGGACAAGCGTTGCGAATACGGCCACCAGTGGCGCAACTTCACAATCTCACGTTCAGGACGCTTCAGATCGAAGAACAAGAAGAGGGATGTGGTCGACGGAAAGCTCTTCGATGGCAATCAAAATGTCGAAAGCGAAAAGGTATGAATTAATAAATAAAATGTTAATATGTGTACATCTTATGAAGTCTGCATAAGTTTCTGCGAAAAAAATCGACAACTAAATCTATTTCTTAACATGCTAGATAGTTTGAAACTTGAACATCAACAACGCTTTCAGTACATGTATTACAAACTCGTGTAATAATAATTAAAAACATACATACATCAATTAGTTGAAATGTATAAAGTATATTTTGTACACAATATTAAAAACAATGAATAACTCCTATAGTATATTCATAGATACTATGAAAATACTATACGTAAAAAAACTATTTATAAGTATGTATATGTAGATGTCTTCTACAAAATCATATCAAGATGTTTTCAAGGTTGCATTTGTTTTATTTTAAAAACATTATTCATGCGGCTTTCACATACAATATCTAGCTACGCTGTACTTATCTATATATGTATATGCATATGCATACATACATATATATATTGTTATTATCTTATTGTAGTTTTTATATACACATGTATCATGATTACTTCGAAAGTCGGCCCGGCTGTCCCGAGGAGCTTTACTTTTCTTGTGAAATGCATAACGCAACGGAAATGCTCGTTAACGAAACGGAAGTTTTTTTGTTTTGATAAAACTCTTAGCAGTCACCACAATTTAAATGTATGTGTGAATATGTAAAGACATTGTTTACGACTCATTATTCGAGTATGTACATAGGTTTTTCAGTTTCAAGTGCACCAGGATTTTGTAAGATTTTTATTTTAAATTGTGTTTTAAGCATTCAATGCCATTTCTGATTAAGTTAAGTCGCAATTTAATCAAGCACTGTTCTAGTAAAAAGCGACTAATATCGTATATTATTATATTTACTTTTCTTTTTTGATAATGAATTGTATAAAATCAACACTAGCATCAAGTAACAAACTAATTTGCTTTTTCTTTTAAGTCCTTAATGTCAATGATGGGAAATCGCGCAAAGATTTGCAAAGATTTATAATTTCTGGGATAACAAACCAATTTATATATGTATATGTTTTCTGAAAATAATGCACCAAACCAATAGCAATATCGAAATCAGTCCCAATTTTGATTTTAAACTGCTTTAAGTTTTGTAAAGTGATTCCTTAAAAGAAATATAAAAATAATAAAATACTTAGTATCGATATTAGTTAGCAACATAGTTAGAAGTAGTTAAGTTAGTAAGTTAAGCTACGTAATATTCAATGCATTATAATCTATATCCATTGTGCTATAATTTATTTGTTTGAAAAACAACATTCATTTAAAAAATGTAATGTGGTTCAAATAATTTTAAAAAATGCTGAAAGCTAGCTTTTTTCCTATTTATTGTAACACCGAAAGAAGCAAGTAATCAGTCCAACGTCGTCATTCCAGTCCGACTCTTGAAAACCCTATACCAATCGTTTGCCCCCTACATATTTTTAATCAAAATAAAATGATTACTACAAATCATTCCTATGACAGCTGTATTATAATTAATAATTAAGAATGCTTAAGATACTTTTATAAACTACACACATAAGGCATCTGTGTATAAAAATTTGGTGGCTCTTCACTTCCCGCAAACCTAATATACTGTACCTTTTGGGCATAGAGTTAACAATTTTCTGGGTGCATTCCTTATTCTGCCTGTATAAGGTATAAAATACAAAGCATTTTAAGCTTGTCAGGGTATTAATGCTTCGATCGGTCGAGCCTAAGTTCTTGTTTGTTATACATACATATGTATAGTACATGTTTGTATTTTATCAGAAAATGAACTGCATGCAAACAAAAAAGGGAACACGCTCATGAGCCAAGCAAATAAGTAAGATCAATACTTAAATATTTACATTTATACACATGTACATTCATCGTGTTTATTGGCCTTTTTGGTAATAAGCGCCCGACTAATAAAATCGTAACCCGAAAACACACCTTTCTGGAAACCTTATACCCCTGGTGTCAAGACGATGTCGTCGACATATGTATATATGTATGAGTACATTTTACCAGAATGTCATTTAATACGTGTTAAGCTCACATACATACAGACATCATCCAATGCATTCATACGTACATAAGTATGTATGTATAAAAAGAAATGCGTTCCAAGCAAGCGCTGTAAAAATAACACCCCACAAATATTGCGACACTCGAAAGTAATAAATTTGATTGGAGGGGCACACGTCAGATAGCCGACCATGGCCAGTTCCTTTGAAGCGAAGCGGGTGGGACCTAAGGGGTTGTGGATAATATTCTTTGGAGCTTGCGCAATACATTTACTGGCCGTCGTCGGAACGTCATTGTCCTCAGTGTGCATTGAACTTGTTAGCATTTTTACAGCGCTTTGTTAGTATTGTTGTTCTGTTTTCCATAGGCATTGAACCGTTACACCTGTCCTCACATATATGATTTTTAGAACTCTCCGTGTCTGCGGAAAGTTTTTTTTTACGCCTTTCTACGCTTCAAATATTATCAGTGAACAGAATCAAGTCATGTCAAGATTTCTTTTTGTGTCGCATATTGGCGCTTATATACGACTGTCTATGTATTATCATCATCGATAATGAGGCACGCAATGTGCGACCAAGGTTTTTCAAACTAAGAAATAGAAAATCGAGCACACACGCATACACACCTCCATTGAAACTTGTTAGCTAAATATGCCGGTACTCAATTAGAACCTAGGCAAGGTTCTCAGGCCCCGGCAAAATATTGCAGTTTTTCGTCATTGGTTCTTGTGTGTTGGGAGCGCAAAAAGTAGAACCTTATCACTTATCACAATGGAAACACTAAAGCAAAAAACATTCAAAAAGAAACTAAAACAAACCATTTTGGCTTCATAAATTCGTTTTCATACATATACACATAAACGCTACACTATAAGTGGCAATGCACGCTCCAATTTCTGATGCCGAAATGTGGAATATGTACAATATACATACGTATGTATGTACGTATATATAGGTGTATATGAGGTCTACATGCGCTTGATTAGAATCGGCTGCTAAACAATATGGAAGAGTTTAGAGCATGTCTGTTGATTAATCGGAGTTTGTGTTTGTGATTGCGTTTATTGACGTACTTCCCATATACGAACAAATGCATGAACATACATACATATGTGAATGCTAACAAATTGACTTCTACGAAATCTGATAGTTGAGATGTTAATCTAAATATGTAGATATAATATATTTTATTGACAGTCGATTACCCGGTTGTAATTTATTAACAAAAGTTAACCTTCAGAACGGCTTTAATGATAGGCCCAATCTGTATATAGGAAGCGCGGGTTTCGGTAAATACTTCTACATTTGTCTTTAAAGTCGTATGTAATATTAGTTAAAAACATTACTCCTACCTGATAGAAATTAACACAAATTTTATACTAAGTATATAAATATTAATTATAGTTACAATTTTTTATATATATTGTTATAACGCTTTTGGAAAACCATAAAAGTTATTGCTATAATTCTAGAACATCAATTTTAATGTTTAATCAGACAATTAAAGTAAGTAAATGATTTGTAGTAAAAGAGCTTTATTTCCAACGTCGAACTTATGAATTACCAAAACATTCCGCAATACTCAAGGGTGTCGTGAAAACTAAGAAATTAATGGGAACTCTCTTTTTATAGATCTCTGGACGAAATGTGCCCAACAACAAGTCCTATCAAACCACCTCTAACGCAACCGCAACAACAACGCTGACAAGCCCGACATCGACGGCAGTGGCGGGAGCAGGAACAGCACGAAGTCAACGTGACAAAGTGGAGAGCTATAAAAGTTTTTACGAAACGAATTTATAGATAGTGACTAAATGATTGTGCAGCTACATATACTATATACATACATATTAAGCTTTATTAAATCAGAGCAGTAAAGCGAAAGAGAGGGTGGGGAAGGGAGTATGGTCGCAACGCGAATTGTACATACGAGTATACCATGCATATACACATGTATACTATATTCATACAAAGACTATTTTAAGCAAAGATTCGGCATACAACTTGCAGGAAGACTAACTAATGAAATTTTGTTTTTGCTTTCTACGCTGTGGTGTTAAGTAACGCATATTACGACAAGTAGTTTAACGCAGTTGCAACAGTACGGGTTGGCTTAATATTTAAATACGACATACATATACAAGTATTCTTAAACACTTTACATATATATATGTATGTATATATATTTTATGTATGTATATATATTTTATATATGTATATATTCTTAAACACTTTTTATATATGTATATTTATAACCATGTACTTATGCTATACATTTATTATATGTAAAGTAAATGTATGTTATTATCTCTTATATGTTAAAAAGTTATTTATAAGTATTAAAACGTGATAATTGCACTAAATTGTTTTCATATTTTTAATATGTCTAACCATACATATACAATTATGTATGTCTTAAGGTTAATAAAAGTTTATGCTTAAATAATTGCAAAAAGCAGCAAAGGGTTCGATTTAATGAGTAGTCACCTTCTTGTTTACCACAGCATTGGGCATAAGTCTGGGAGTTGTGCGTTGTTAACAGTGATTTTGTCCTTTGCCGAATCACGTGCTATCATCGTTTGCAGTCGACGGTGCATTGCCACTGGTGTCCTGAGCTCTTAGATAACTAACATCAAGCACACAGAATTTGGCACGGCACATGGGACACGTGCACTTTTGCTCCAGCCATACTTCGCGATCGACGTCGCTTTGTCTTGCTGCAAACCATCGAGCTAGGCATTCCACACACCACATAGGACGGCAGTAGCAGTTTGAGCAGCAGGCATCAGTCGCCAGTGGCACACCAGAACGATCTACATCGGCACACTGTTTGTTAATCTTTATGTTCGGCTCAGCTAGCATGCAGGCAAAACACTTGTCCGTAATGGGCTCCGAGCTAAAGATAGGGTTGAGCGCTACTTGTGCTTTGAACACGTCCACAAAACGATCAATAACGCTTCGATGAAACTGAATATTCGACGGTATGGTAATAGGACGACGCACCCGATCTTCTAAGTTGCGAAACTCTAACGCATTAATACGTATGTGGAAATCGGACACACCTTGTCGATTAGGCTGCACAATAATGCTTATCATCTGAAGTGTATCGTTCTGATCGTGCTGCGATATATTATAGGTTTCAGCCTGCAAGCAAATTTAATGTACTTAATGTTCGCAATGAAGTAACAACAACTGACCTTGGCCACGCTAAGCGCGGTGTTTGACTGATGAGCAAAGTGGACATTATATAGCGTTGTCTTAATTATCCAGTTCTGCGTCGCGATGATTGTACTAATAGAGTTCAGCTTCTTTTTGTAGATGTCCGGGCGTCGAAACTCGTTGCCAATATCGCTAGCTACCGCATCGTAGCTACCCGGCGTATTGGCATACTTGCTCAATGTCTGGCTGATTGGATGTCGTCGCCATCTTTGTTGGTGCCAATTAAATATGATGGCGGGTACTGCCAGAACAGCCAAAAGACTAAAACGTTGTGCAGTCTTCCACGTGAGTGTTTTAAATGCCACGGCTTCCTGTGGCATTGGGAAATCCGGGTCGAGTTCGGAGTCTTCTAATGGTGCTTGCGTGGCAAATACAGAGAATTTTATACGGTGTATAAAAAAATACGTCGCAGGCAGGCAGCAATGAACGAAAAAATTGAGAGATGTGCGTCGCTGATGATACCCGACGAAATCCAAAAATTCTTCACCAAGAAATCGCGAGAACAGCTGCTCTATGGTTAGGCCTAGCCGCTGGAATTCTTCAGGCGGATATATGATACACATGCACAATAAAAAGTAAAACAAGTTAAAAAGTAGTTCAGACTCGTCCATTGTGCGAAAAATTTTGGATAAAAACAAACAAAAAATACAAGTGCCGATTTAATAACTTGGCATTGTCGCCTTTCCACCAGAGTTGCCTACACGGTTATAAAAAACATAGAATATCTTAACATCGCCGATAATTTTATTGTGAGTATTCGATATTATTCTGTATTTTTATGGACACAATACACCGGGGCGATCGATGTTAAGTGATTTTTAGCTTTAATAAACACAAATACCAGTTCGTTTTCCTGTGTGTTGCAATATGTTTTTAAATACTATATACAATGTGACGGATGTGGACTTAAAAAAAAAGGGGTACACTGGCCAAACGATAAAAAATCTAACGGTTTTTACAGCGTTAGCGGACAAAGTGCGCGCGTCTCATTTGTTTTGTTTAACTGTCCAGTCCAATATGAGACATTCTTAATGAAAGCCGATGAAGCTTTCGGCTTTAATATTAAAAAACGCAATATATATAGATCAATTGCTGGAACCGTCCTGTATTTGCATTTTTGATTTTTGGACTACAATTTCAGCTTTCAATCTTTGGTCGGTGTATTTATTCAAGCGCTCGAAGGCCTCCATTGAACTGGAAAGTTCCACTTCATCTTGCTTCATTTCCTGGTGCATCCGCATCTTCCACATTTTAGTTAGCACCAAAAAAGGCACAAGTAATGTGAAGTATGGTAGTATTTCAAAAATTTTGTCTAGCATTTTTATACGGTAAATTGTTAATGACATTTATATCAATAAGCCTGCTACTCTTTCAATTAAATTTATTTCGTTTCATACAAATAAGATTGTTATTTTTGTATTACAAATTAACTATGGCTTGATTTTAAAAGCTAAATCAAAAGCATAATCTCTTGCGAGGAAACAAAATACATTTTCCCAAAAGTCACATATTTCGTTCACACAATCGTCCGGGTAACTTATACGAAAATCATATTTTCTATATCAATAGCTTGCCTTTACTCTTAAATTATACATTGGACCTTTCAAGTCCTGGCTACACTGCTGTTGCAGGTTTCAACAAACAACGGCTGCGTGTGTGAGTTTGAATCTTCCATCTTGTACATACATACATATGTAATCTTAAACGTAAATTTTGTAACGGAATGTCTGCTTGTGGATATCAACGAATTGTTGGACGGCCATCGTCACATATATTCAATGTTGTAATTCGCTTAGATTTGGAATATTGTTTGTATAATCGTCATTAGATGTTGAGCTGGAGTCATGGGTGAGTTCGAAGCTATTTTCGCCGCTGGTTCCGGTCACCGTCGTAAGGCTGGAATCATTGTTAGAGTTTTGTTGTTCAGAATTGCTCAGATTCGGCAGCGAGACATCCGCATCCTCTTCGTCATCGTCATCATCTTCGTCGTTGCTGATGCTGCTGTTGCTACTGTTGTCGGCAGCATTATCAGCACCATTGTGTTGGATTGCTGAATTTAAATTTAATGCGCTTATTTCGGGTAGATTGTGGTAGCTTGTTGTTTGCGTTGTTGCTGTTACTGCTGTAGTGGTCGTCGAAATCATGCCGGAAGTCGTGCCGGAGCTATTAAATAAAAGCGTTATCTGTGGCACATTGGGTGTGGTCTCGCCATTTCTTTCAGTTCTCCCTGCGCTAAGCTTTGATGATGCGCGTGCCAGTTCGGCTTCTCCTGCTGCTGAATCTGCATGAAGTATAGAAAGAACTGGAATATTATACGAATCTTGCAGTTCTTGTTCACGTGATTGCTCCGGCCGGTCCTGCAAGTTTTCGGGGCTACTCGCATTGAGAATTGATAGGTTTGGAACATTGGCTGCGGATGGTGTTATTGAATCGATGCTAGATGTTAATGGCAAAGCATTACTGGCAGTTGTTCTGGACATGCGCGACAAGCGTGATGCCCGCGGTGGTGCCACTGGTGGTAAGCCTCCATTCTCTCCATTTTGTGAGGGGTGCGGCACGTTCTTAGAACTCGCGACCATGCGCTTGTCATAGTCCAAATTCATGCCTATAGTACCAGCAACTGCGGCGCCATCGTGATCAATATCCATGTCCTCGCTCAGATCCAGGGATAGGTGCGCTGCAGGACCATCAGCGGGTCGCTCCGGTTTGGGTTCTGTGGGACAATAAAATAGATAATTAGCGTGTTCCGACAAAGATCGTATTGTTTACCATTTAGAAAATCTTGTGCCACAAAATTGGCGGCACTGAAGAGGTCTGCCTGCACAAGCAGCTGAAGCAGCACACCCACGGTTGGCCGCTCGTTTTGCTGCCCTGATGTTTTCCATTCATCGATCATTATTTGCGATATACTCTTGTGCGGTTCCGCCTTCGCATAGTCATCAATTTGGCTTATGTGTTGAGCGGTGTACTTAAGTCCACTGTTGCGAACAACAAAATCATAGTTTAAAGCACCAGGGGCGCTGCTTGCCTTCGCGTCCAGCCCCTTTGGTATTCTGGCCATCAGCTTGCGCCAAGAGTCATTAATATTAAGAAAACTTGACAATTTGTAAATGTCGTTGTCTTCTACTCGTCGCAGTTCCGTTGTGCGCGTATATTTTGCATGCATACTACCGTCTCCATCCCCGCTCCCTTCATCAACGCTACCACTGGCAGCATACCCGTTCGCTTTTGCCATACTTGTTTCGTTTGTTTTTCGTTGTGCGTGGGCGTGTGCCTTTGCTCTTCGGGTGGGTTGTTTACTCGACTGTTGCAACGCCGCGATGTTAGAGCATTGTGGATATTCTTTTCTGTTTCTTCGAATTTTTCTTTTGAGTAACTCTGAGTTTCACAGGTTTTTCCTATGCGCTAGCTGTTGGGATATTACCTTCGTTGTTAACTTTATGCGGCGCTCAGCTGTTCAGAGCTTTCGATAGTTTCAGCAATCGATAACAGCGGCAGTGCATTCGCAAGCCACTAAATTAAATTAACAGGTTTCTTTAGCCCTTTCATTATGCTGCCTGATTGTAGATTACATTATTGTTTTATTAAAAAGTTTGTGCCATTGCTTAGCGTTGTAATTGCATTAAACAATTCCAAACTGAAAAAGGTCTTTTACCCAAATATTAATGTATATTTTAAATTATATTTTTATTGTTAAAAGCAATGTTATCATGTCAATCAATGTATTATCGACATGTAGTGGCGAAGTCTCCAACATTATGTTGTACCAACTTTACATAAACAGTGAAAAAATGTGAAAACAAACTAATTAAAATATCCTTTGTTATAAGATTGAACAAAGATCCTACACAATGATCTTATTACAATAAGAGTTGTTTGAAAGAAATATTTATTCTACGTACTGTTTCTTTCAAAACCAAAAATTATAAAAAACGAACTGTTTGAAATTTATCTTTTGGAGTGTGTAAAAACATTTTATTCATAAAGTTGTAAAAGTTTTGTAAAGTGGACGATTACACAATTACATTCACATATATGTATATTGTTGAATGTACTATTAAAAACAAAAAACAAACTCAGAAGGTCAAAAGGGGGGAACTTTAAAACTTAGAAGAATACACCCTCTCGTTCGTTGCAAAAACCGAATATGTTCGAAAAATATCTGTGTTTCTAAATATCTATATATATAAAGATATTTGTGTTTTTAATCTTGTATGTGCTACTTAACTCTTATATAAGGTCACTTTCTTAAATACATATGTATGTAGTTATGCATAATTTTATGTTCAATTCGCTTCGGTTACGCTCGAGGTCAAAAGTTTATAGACGGAATGTTGACTGCAATAAAACTAAACGAGACTCTCCAAGTTCTGTAAAGCTGTGCGCTTTGTATGGACGGTTTGTTTCTAACTTAACTTAATGCCTGCCTTCTTCGATTTGTGCTTCATCAGTTGTATTGATAGAAGAAGGTGGTAATAAAAAGGAGAATGGACATGATAAGCGCCGTATTGATGTTGTGTCCATGACGCGAATTCGCCGAGTTTCGCGTTGTCTTGCCCATCTGGAAGCGTAAGGTTGGGCTGGACATGCGGCCATCACCTCCATTACTGTAGGCGAGCACACGCATATTGTAGCTCTTGCCGGGCGTAAGATTATTGATGTAGGCCTCTAGTTTTTGTCCAATTGGCACAATTGTGTTGTTGGCAGTGATCATATTTTGATCGGCCTCCCAAACGCGCACCTGCAGGCGAAGCAACAAAAATTATGAAAACCTGTATAATTTTCGAATATGTATCTTTTTTACCTTATAACCCTCAATGGGCTCCTCATCCTGTGATGGTGACACATAACGCCAAACGACTCGCACTGTAGAGGGATTTATGCCATAAACATGGACCGATGAGGGCGGTTTCTGTGGCGCCTTCCGATATGTGCGCTCTAAAAGAAGTTTATATAAATATAATTTGAAAGTTGCAAATGAATTTATCTATTAATGGGTTGATGCTACAAATATTTTTCTCTTTTCCTACTGCAAATTTTTCTTGATCTATTCAAAGGATATTTAAATACTTTTATTTGCTTGATTCTAAATTTGAATATTTCAAGAGTATGCATTAATAAATATAAAACTCATTAAATAGTCCATCAATAATACAAAATTATAGAATTATTACCTTCGAAACGTTCGCTTTCCGGGCCCTCGCCAGCTGCGTTATATGCCATTACTTTGACAAAGTAGTATGTATCCGGCTGCAGACCAACAATCAATGCCCAATTGCGGGTCGTGCGCGATAGATAGTATACGGAATCCTCCTCTTGATGTGTTGTTTTCCAGTATTTTAACTGCAAGCCATATATACAAATTTAAGTGGAACTTAAAGTATGGATCTGGATACTAAACTTACCCTATGACCAATAAGTTTACCGCGTATATTCTCGCGCGACATATTAATTGGTTGCCAAGTGACATTGAAACAGGTTGAATTGTAGGCTACGGCAATGGGTTTCTGTGGTGCCACCTGTGGCATATCCTCGGCAGAATGTATTACCACCGTTTTGCTCTCGGGACCTTTGCCCACACTGTTGATGGCCTGCACTTTTACTTCGTATTCGGTGTAATAGTTGTTCAGAGGTATGTTCACCACAGCCACACCAACATTTTCCTGCTTCTTTATCAAATCAGATGCCCATTCGAGAGCGCCCTTCAGCTTCCAAAATACCTTGTAATGTATTCCATGACTGTGTTGCTCTTCTGGCAACAGTGGGTCCCAAGTAATGGTCAAATCGCCGATCTTGCCGCCACCGCCACCCACATTGCGTGGTGCTATATAGGGCTTATCCTCATATGTGCTGTAAATAGGCGATGGGGCCGAGGGCGTGCCAATGCCAAGATCATTAACAGCCGCTACGCTGAACTCATACGATGACCAGGGCGTTAGATCCTTGACTTCGGCTTGTTGTCTTGATGTATAACGATCAACATCACGTGCCTGCACGTGCGTCGAAACGTTCACCCAGGTGCGATTCCAATTGGTGCGTCCGAGAATGTTGTAGTAACGAATGGGCCGACCATTGTTGGCGCCATCAACCCATTCGATAATGGCCTTAGTCTTGCCAATCTCTATTACTTGCAGGCCACCTGGCGCACCTGGGGCACCTTCGATGACAACATTGGTCTTGGTGGTGATCTCGTTGACCGCCGATTGAACAACGCATTCGTATTCGCCAGCATCGCGCATTGTTATATTGCGTACCGTCAGACTGTTCCACTCAACGATCTGCAAAATTACAAAATTTATGACAGTTATTTTTACAGTCTGGAGAAAAGCGACTAAAATGACTCCAATAAATTGGGCGTACATCTAATCATCCCGTCTTAAAAGTAACACCAACACTTACAAAGCGCCCGGTGCCATCGTGATCGTTCTTCAGTGTTCCACCATTATGCTTCCACACGTAAGCAATGTCCAAGAGCTCATCATAAGCAGCCTCGCAATGTAGATATATGATATCGTGCTCCTTCGCGACAATCCGCTGAGGTGGTGTTTGAATAAAACGTATCTCTTCTGTAAAGTTAAAATATTATTTATTTGAGATATGAAATTGAAGGCAGTTTGATACTTACGCAAGACAATTACGCGGGCATGAGACTCATCCGTGCCCGCTTGATTGGAAGCCACGCAGGTATAGAGACCCTCATCATCGCGTGAGGTGGGCGAGATAATGAGAGTGCCGCTGGGCAGTATGCGACGATGTCCGCCGGCGCCCAGTAGCTGACCATCTTTTTTCCACTGGAATTTAGGGCGCGGCGCTGCTTCAGGATCACAAACAATGGTCGTATTGCCATTGTAAACAGCATATATCTCAGCCTCTAGTGGATGTTTCTTGAACGATGGCTTCATCGAGAGCACTCTCAATTGGGCGGATGAGAAGGATGTCTTGAGCTGATTTTGCGCACCGCACTGATACATTCCTTCGTCCCGGTCTTTCTCCAAAAATTTAATAGTTAGCACGTTGTCCTGAATGATATAGCGATCTCGATTGATGGTCAATGGATCCAATCGTTCGGCATTTTTATACCACGTGTAATTGGCATCGGGAATGGCAAAGGCCTCGCACATGAATGTCACATCGCTGTTGTAATCCTTAATCATATCCTTCAGTGGTATGGTAAACTCCGGACGCATTTGAATATTGATGAATATTGACTTTTCCAGAGTTTTTCGTGGATTGGTTATGATGCAGCTGTATTCCCCATTATCATTGGTTGTGGCATTCTGAATGATTAAGACGCGTCCATAGTTGGTGGTGTATGCATTGCGCTGCAGAGGCAAGCCTTTACGTGTCCAGTTATATGAGGGTATTGGATAACCAAACGCTACACACTCCAGCCGAATTTCGTCGCCAGCCACGGGCGCATCGGGAAAGATCTGAAAAATAATTTCACAATAAGAGAATAAAAGAATATTTCAATGCCAATTGTTACAGAATTCCTTTGAAATTACCTTAGGAAAAGTGTTGGCGAATATCAGCGCTTGATAATTACTATTGGGCGTAACTCGCAGTGGAAAGAAGGGACCATTTCGACCCGTATCAGAAACTAATGTTTGGACAGTGCACGAATAATTGGCACGATCTACAGTCTCTATAAAGGAGAAGTATAGAGCGCCATCATGCGAAACAAATACACGCTGATCTTCATCGACGAAATTTGGGAAAAAGTCTCGAGCCCAATAGTATTTGACAGCTGGATAATGCTGCGGTGGATCACAGAATATCGACTTTCCCCAATTCATTTCGCTTGTCTCAGACGAACGCTTTAGATTGAACTCCATGATGAACCCAAAATTCAAATTTGCACTCTCCGAGCGCACACGTCCAAACTTATTTTCGGCCACACAATGATAGGAACCTTGATCCAAGGACTGTTTTGGCTCGTATATGATGAGATTGCCACCAGATATTGTGTAACGATCATTTACAAGTGGATCAATTTTTTGATACTCCAGCGTATCATTGACATAGACTTCGCGGTACCATTGATAGGTGGGTGTGGGATAGCCACCGGCTAGACAGCTCAGCGTTATATCGTTAATGAGGCGATTCTTGTTCACATCGAAAACAGTATTATTGGGTTGCTTTACAAAGTAGGGGCCGCGAGGAATTCTCTCTAAGTCGCGAATGTCCAGTCCATAGTGGTAGGGACGCTTGTCGTCCAGTTTTAAATTAACATTCTCCGGATTGTGCAGCACTTTGGACTCGCAGATGAAAAGGTTAAGCTCGATATCATAGGCTGGCATGAACATCCAGCGATCGCGTTTCTTCGAATAGGCATATACAACACGATCACGGTAGAAGCCATTGTCGCCAAATGGCCGATTTGGACCTGTTGGGGAACGTGGTTAAGTGTTAACTTTGCCAGACAAATCAAAGATGTATTGATATGCTTACCAATAAAACCGCGTAAATTGTTCTGATTTCGTTGGTTAATTGTACCCGGCAGTGTGTTGTAGTATTGATTTGGATTATTGCGATTATCCATTTCGTTCCGTACCAGGAAACGATTATCGTGCAAGTCCTCGTTCTCTAGCGGTTGCTGCTCGTCAAACGAGAAAGCATCCTCGATTTGCAGGAACTGCGTATTGTCATCATTTATCCAAGTCTGTGGACCCGTTTGACGTGCTGATACATAGAAACGATTCTGTCGCTGATTCTGCAAAATCAGATGCTTCAATATGAACGAGTGCTTCTCTATGTTGTCCACATTTATCAGATCCGCATTGTAGGCCTTGCAAATCTTTTTAGCCTCGGCCCAATTCCGCTTTGGTGACCGGATAAAACGATAACAAGTCTGACGGAATGCCACCCAATGTTCTGGACAATAATTATCCTCATCTGTGAACTGATCCCGATAGCCAATGCCAATGCCCGTATTTGGTGAAGTAATGCTGTTACGATTGAAGGGGTCATATTGTGGACCAATGCCACCAAGGCCAGCGCCCAAATTGTTGCTACCTGGGCCACTTAGACTGTTGCCACCCAAGGGCCGATTGTAGTTGTTAGAGCCAAGATAACCACCAGTGCCGCCACCACCATATGTGGGATTACTTTGCGGATTTCCATAGTCCAGGAGTGGATTGTCATATTGCGTGGTATCTGGATTCTGTTGATTGCCCGTATAAAGAGGATTGTAGCGTGGGGAATAGTCTTTATTGTAAGTGGGCTGATATGCAGTAGGTTGCTGTTGTGGTAATAGCGGCTGGCCTTGCTGCTGCTGTTGTTCTTGTTGCTGGTCGTTAGGCAGTTGTGCCGTTGTCAGGAGCAACAATTGCAATAACAAAATGCCTCCCAGCCGAACTCTTTGTGACATACTGACTTGGTTTAGTTTCAGTTTGGTGTGAGAACTGCTGCAGGCGGTGTTTTTAGTTCGACTAAAGGCACATTTTCATTCAAAAGTTCTTCCAGTCTATAAATAAAGACAAAAATATGCAAGTTCATAAACATAATTAATAAATTCTGTTTGCTTTAAACAACTGCCGATCGGCTTAATGGCATAAACAAAAATTAATTATAGCTCATAAACAAATGATGCACTGATCGGTGAGCAGCTAGTCAGCCAAAGGCTGTATTAGTAATCCATGTGCGTGTGTGTGTGTCTATGTGCGTGATTAGGTGTGGTCTTAAGCTTTACTTCTAAGCGATTCGGTAAGAAATCAGAAACAAATACTTCCAATTGGGAAATATCTTATATCGTTATTAATGTTTGGAGGTCCTTTAAGTCACAAAGCTATCAATAATGCTTAAACAGCGTCATACCAATACGGCAGTGACCCGCCCAACTAGACGCAAAGCTGCGCTTAGTCAAACACCCAACCACACCTTAAATTCAGACAGACTTCTTCAAAAGTACTGCAAACACATCGGCCCACCAACGAATTGCACAAAAATAACCGTTAGATTTACTTCAAAACTTTTGCTAACCAATTGGAATTGGATTAAATAGGAAGCACTTTGAAATTATAGTCGTTTAAATAAAAACAAATTAAACCACGAAGTCGGGCCTAAACACTCAGACGGCAGCACGTAGGTATGAGCAAGCCACGATAAGCAGGTGCGTGCGACTATGCAACCGATAGTCGTATCGTTATAAGGGCTGCCATACACATTAACGTTATTGGAAAAGGTGGCAGCGTATTGCAGTCTATCGAAACATACCAGGCTCTTTCGTGCCATCCCTATACATTGGCGAGTGGTGATGTGTTATAAACCATAGTTTTGGGCAATATTTAAGAAAGAGAGCGAACATTTCATCGGGCAAACAACTCACGCTGCAAAAATCTCGACAAAGGCAATATGAACTACAATCCAAATGCGGGTATGCGGAATCGTAAGTGGGAAAATTGTAAGGAACAAGCACAACGCAAGTATACCACGAAGGCAGCAGCGGCCTCCGCTCCAATTGACACCGAAACGGAGGGCGCCTGTAGCTAGGCAATCAGTTTTTGTTGTACCCAGTTGTATTGTTTTATTTCTACTACCCCGTCCTGTCCCATACTAACTATTATTCTATATTATCCCAGCGCTTATGCTTTGCCAGTAGCCCGTAACGTGTGTAGCTTGCAGTTACTTGTTTCTAGCACCTTTTTCCAACACAGACAACTGTTAGACTTGACAACATTTTACTATGAAAATTTGTTCTTCTCTACGAAAATAGCGCAAGGTCCCGGCCGTAAAGTGAAACGCGTCAGTGATGTGAATGCCATGGGACCGTCAGCGCCGATGCCCGGCGGCTCCGCTTTTATGCCGCCGACAACTGGACCGACAATGTTGAATCCAAACATGTATGGGGGACCGGCAGCGCCACAAACTAATAGCTATGGCTATAATGGAGGGCAAATGCCGACACAGCCGCAACCGGCGCAGCCACAGCAAAATTTCGGTTATGTCCCACAATCACAAGCAGCGAGCACACAACCTACATTCGGCGCACCGCCACAGCAACCGCCGACCTATAGCGCTGCCCCTGCAGGTGTTCCAATCGGCCCAGGGGGCGTCGCACCAGGCACACAATATCCACAATTTGCAATGTTTCAACAGCCAATTGTGCAGGATATGGCTATGCAATATGGTCAACGATTGGCCGACCAGGGCAAGCAACTGGTCGAGAATCAATTCGAGAAATGGGTGCCTGTGGCGAAGTTGAAGTACTATTTTGCCGTTGATAATGCTTACGTGGGTCGTAAGCTGCGATTGCTCTTCTTTCCCTTCATTCATAAGGTAAGTTTAAGGACTAACGTCTCATTCCTCATTCTAATGTCGCCCACTCTCTGTAGGACTGGTCTCTCAAATACGATCAGGAACATCCGGTGCAGCCACGGTATGACATCAATGCTCCGGACCTATATTTGCCGACCATGGGCTATATAACATATGTCATCGTTGCGGGTCTGCTGCTGGGCATGCAGAAGCGCTTTTCACCCGAACAATTGGGCATACAGGCATCCAGTGCATTGGCGTATAGCATATTTGAGCTATTTGTCTACTCAATAGCGCTCTATGTGATGAATGTTAAAACGAATCTTAAAACTTTGGACTTACTAGCGTTCACGGGCTATAAATATGTCAACATTGTTGTCGCGCTTATGATAAGCACGATGTTCCATAAGTCCGGTTATTACTTAGCCTGGGCTTATACGAGTTTTGCATTTGGCTTCTTTTTGGTGAGTATAACTAATTGAATTAGTGATTGATTTACTTAAAAGACACATGTATATTTTAATCTGCTGGTTGCAGCTGCGGACGCTACGCACAAAATTGTTGCAAGACAGCTCACCGGCTGCTCCGAGTGGCGCTATCAACTATGATCCGTATGGGAATCCACAGCAATACGATTATAGTGGCGGCCGCAAACGCAAGCTCTACTTCCTGTTCATGATCGTTGGAGGGCAGGCATTGTTTTCGTTTCTGTTATCGAAGCATTTGTATCTGCCCAGTGGGGGCACGTTGACGGCGAAAATGGTTTAAATCCACATCATATGCCACTCACCAGGGGCGTAACTTAATATTTAGACTAATTATGAAAACTCTATGAAATAACCGGGCAATGCTATTACTATCGAAAACGTCTTTCACTTTTCCATCTGCCAATTATGAAATCATTTCCAAAATGTAAAATCTTTTTTTCTAGCTTATGCTTAGCCGTTACTTTAGATTTTCCTTGTGTAAGTGCTGCGTGTGTGACAAAAAAAAAAAAAAAACTTTAACATAAACATCTGAGATTTGCATGAAAGAAACATATTTTTGTTAAACAAACCATTTTATAAATAAACCTAATATTGTGAAATTAGTGTTTTTGTTTCGACTAACAACCAATTTTAAAATGATGCGCTTAAAATATTTTGAACGCAGATTGAAAGTTTTCGGGATTGTAGGGAATGTGGACAGATATATACACTGTACCCAATTGGTACATTAAGTAACTGATCATACCCTTTGGGAAAGATTACAAAGTTCAATTCCCGATGTTCATAGATAATCTATGATTGGTTCATTTCTTCCTTTATTTCTTAATACTTAACCGTCAGTTAAATCAGATTGCCAGCTCCAAAAGAGGAACTCCAATATCGTAAAATGATAGAATGAAAAGAAAATGCAGAATATGTATTTTTGTATATCTTTTAAATAGTTTTTATTGAAATGTTTAGTCTCTTTTTACTGTAACGTTTTGTTGTTTGCTTCTCTCTTCAATTGTATTTATTATTTTTCTCTCATCGTGTACTTATTTGCTACATTTTGTTTGTTTCTTGACTCTTCGTAATTTGTCACTAGTTTCGGCTGTTGTTTGCTTGTTGCTTTTGTTGAATTCATTTATAAAATATACGCTGTTATTGTTTGTATTTATTCTAAATTGATCGGTTTTATGCAAAACACATTTTGGGTAAAAACTAATACATATATAAAAACAACTTTCTTTAACAAGCTGCCAGCGCTGCCTGCAACAAATGGAACAACATCTCGCTATATTTTTTTTATATTAAATTGGAAATAAGCAATACCCACGTATCATGTATAAGGCAAATTATCATTTAGGACATACATAAATAAAATACATACATACTACATAGTTGGAGTAACGCGACGCCCACATGTTAGACCTATGGGGTTTATTACTTGCTAAGATTTATTCATAGATTCATTTATTTTAGACAATAGACAGGCCTAAAATGTTGCGCTACAAGGTTTAACTATAGTCGCCGTCTTCTTAGTATGCATATTAGTTTAGTTAGTTATAGGTAGTTTGTTAGTTACAGGGCCTCAACTGCAATTGCAACTCCACAATGTAAAAATGTTTCGCTAAGATCGTTTTTTTTTTTCTTTCTGATGGTATAAGGAGTCTTCTTTAGAATGCGAATGTTACTTGTGTAGATTTTTATTTTGGGGTTGTTGTTATGATTGTTGTTGTTAGCTTTATGTATATAGGTAAGCTAGGGCTTAGTTATAGTTATGTATGTATAAACATGCTTTGCTTTGTTTTCAACAAATTTTCACGTAATTATTAAAATAATACATTAACAACTAAATATATATAAATATAATATTGAAAGTTAAATTAACATTTTTGTTCTGTTGCTGCTGTGTTGCCTTTTATGCTGTAGTTGTTGTTGTGGGTACCAGTGGGTATGTTGTACATAGCTATATATTGTATATATATGTAAATATATATAATTTATATATGTATGTGTTGTGTGTGTGTATGCGTATGTTTGTGTGTGTGTACAATGAACCCATTTGGGCTATATTTGGAATACAAGAAGACGCAACTTAAGAACCAATTTAAACGGTCTATATTAAAATGATATTGAAATCATATATACTACTAGCTCTAACCTAAATCACCAACTGCACCGCCTCCTGCTGGGCCCGCTGCCTTCTGCTTGACAAGATTTCGCTGATAGTTGATCATGTTCACTTTATCGAACTATATTACCGTGCCGCCCGGAGGCGCCGCTTGACTCGGTGACAGATGCTGGGCGACATGCTGAAAGATCCAAAATCATCATTAGTATATACTAACTAATTCCTCAAAACGTATGTATCTATCGAAATGAAAATGTATATAAAATGTTACATAAATGGGAAAATGGAATATCCCGTCGATAACTCAATGCTTTACACTTTCTTGTCATATTACTAATTCAGAAAGATTTCAACACGAGTTTTCGACCTTGGATTATCTAACACTAAGTATAAAAATGTACTTAAATATGTATATACGTATCGTCCTGACTGCTCTCTGTTGTCTTTCGTTAAATTTAATATGAAAGCTCATTTCTAAAATTTATTTTTATATTCGCCGAATAAATCCAGAATAATTTTAAAAGGTTCTTATTAGATTCGGTTCTTTATTCGAAAATAATAGCATTTTTCAATTTTCTCTTTGCATAATTCAATCGAATTTGGAAACGGGCTTGTGAGGCGAGTAATTAGTAGTTGAAAATGAGTAGAGAATGTTTGAGTTCTACAGCTTAAATTTTGGGTCTGAAAACATGTTATCTTCCGGAAGTAAAGCTAAATAATAATGCACTTTAAACAGCGGAATATAAGTTTAACAATACCGTTTCCAGACATAATATTCTTACCAAATAACGGGGCGGTTCGGACCGCTTCTATCAACTTAAATGGAACTGGCGACATCTATAGTATTTATAACCTGCATTTGCTTAATCATCTGTGAGGTAGTTCGCTATTATTGAAACCCTTTTATAGTGATTACCATACATTTATTGGAACTTACTGTTGCGTAACCAGGCCGCGCCCATGTGTAGATAAAACCATCCTGGCACGCTGTGAGAAAGCAATCCTCACGAAAGATAAGCGCTGTTAGGCGTTCGTGTGCGATTTTCTTGCACACCAGCGGTTCCAGAAGCGGACACTCCTCGAAACGTGGGCAGGCGGGCGTTCCGATAAGCTTCATGGGATCGTAGGAGTTGACGCTGGCCGCTGCGGATTGTGCAGCTGCCACTAGCGAGGAATTGTGCGACGATTTGCTTAACTTCAGTGAACCGAAACTATGCGCCGTCGAGCTGCTGCCAATGGGTGGAGCTCCGCTTCCGCTGACTCCACTCAACTCCAGCGTTGTGGAGTTGGCAAAATTGGAACTGTTGCCGCTGTTGTTGTTGTGGTGATTGCTGCTATGATTGCTGTTGTGTTGATTATACGACTTGAGTATGCTCATGGCCTTGCGATGTTGGCGATGGGAGGTGGAGTTGCTGCCCTCGTACCCTCCACCAACACTGCCACTAATTGTGGCTGATTTTTTGCTCTCTGAATTGCTTAGGAAACTAAAATTCGACAGACGTTGCGTGAGGCTATTGAATGCTGAGAAACCGCTGCCAGAATTGGAGGATTTGGTCGAACTATTTGATGTTTTGCTGTTGTAGCCGGACGTGGAGTAATTCGAGTTTGCCGGACGCTGTCCATTGCCACCATCCAGACTGTCTGATTTGGTCGCGCTAATGCAGTTGGGAAACTTAATGGAATTGCTGTTGGCATGTGACTTGCTGGGCTTATTGGACGTGGGCGCTGCCGCCACAGTGGGGGGCGAAACGGCGGTGGAGTCGCATTCATCGGGCGGCGTATTGGCATTCGATGACTGCGAGGATATTGTACAGTTAGCTGTGGAGAACTTGCTGGAACTGCTATTGCTATTCTCGGCTGCCGCCGCTGACGTGGCCGCCTCCTTGGTGGGACTGCCCGCGGCGGAGCCCATGGCTATGGGCCGAATCACTTTGATGCCATCCGCATCGACGCCGCCATTCATGTAACTCGTATCATTCAGCTGTGTGCTATTCACACGCTGTCGCATGGTTAATGGATGCCGGAGCACATCCTCCGTGATGTCCCAGAGACATATTTGCGTATCCTGACTGACCGAACCCAGGCGATAGCTGATGGCAAGCTTGTCGGGCGCCAGCGCCGCCGACGAGGCATCCGATCGAAATGACGATGAGTGCGGACGACCGGAGGAGACCTGACGTCCGGACGCGAGCAGCGGCGTCAAGTTCTTGTCAAACCCATCGAAACCATTGCCCGTCGAATCGCCTGAGAAACGTGCCTCCCGCGATGCCGTATATTCGTGCATCTGATTCTCATCGTCGCTAAAATCACCGCCATCCCAATTCGTATAGGATGTGGTATAGGGATCGAAGGCCACCACCGAGACCCACGAGCGATGGCCCTGACCTCGCGCAACTACGCGACGCTCCTGCAGCGACCACACCGTCACGAGATCATCTTCACCGCCGACCACAATGTACTTGCCATCGGGGGACCAGCAGACGCACAAAAAGCCACCGAAATAGGAACGCGCGATGCCCAGCAGCTCCATGGTATCGTAATGAAAGACGCGGAGGAAGCCATCTTGTGAGACCAGCGCCAAATTGGCACCGCAGGGTGAAAAGCAGAATTCGTTGATGCAACAGTTGTCAGTGCTGAATACCCATTTGTAGAGCGGATTTCGAGTCGATTTTGATTTGCAGGTCAGTATAGTGTAGCCGTCGCCCACTTTGAAGGGCTGATAGTTGGGCGCTGCTGCCGTGCATGGCAGCTCCTCGTTGTACAGATACAAATGACCGGAGGCATGTGAGGCGAGAAACAGATGCGGCGAATTCGGCAGCCACTTGAGGCAGGTCACTTTGGTCTTGTCGATGAGGCGCTGCGTTCAGAACAACACAGATATTACTAATGCTTTATGTGTATAATTTGCAATTATAATATGACTCACCTCCTCGTTAAAAAGCTTACGCAGCTCTCGAGGCCCCAGCTGCGGTGTTACCAATTGTATTTGTCCCGTTGTGAAACCGACAAGCAGTGGCGCACCCGAAGGCGTAGCTGCATTCGCATTGAAATCATGACAGCTAGGATTGGTGCCCTTGTAGAATTTCTTATCAATGGGCTTGCTCATCTCGGTGCCCTAAAAAAATATGCAAGTTGGCGATAAGTAGGATGATCATACATAGTACGATGAGCTGTCTTAAGCAGTTAAGAAAAAACTGATAGTATGACATTTTGCTTTAAAGTATAGTGTAGATCAAATTTATAAACATGAATAAAGCAGAGACAAATATGTTCATTCATTTCGGCGGTATCATTTGATTAGAGAAAATGGCCCAATGTTAGTTAAGCAACTGGTTTGAACTCAGCACTTTCAGGAACTGCTAAGAATCCTTAACATCACAAAAGCTTTTATTTTATGATTTTTCAAAAATCTGTAAAATTATTTCATTAGCATTAGATATGCATTCAAAACCTAAAGAAATATTTAATTAGAATATACCATATAATTAAATTGTAACAATATGTACGCAATTTTAAATCTTATTTGGCATTGCAAACACAAAATAATATATATGCAGAAGTAGTTTGATTGAAATCAATATAATATTTGCAAATATTGTCCCCTGGCCAGCATTGACAGTTAAATATAGCTCGTGGTGCAGATAATAATGAAAAGTGGTTCCCCCCTAACCTTTCACTCGCATTCATAAAATAACATTACACTTTGCACGGTCAGAAACAATTTAGTTTTGGGGTTGACGCTTCGTTTATGCAACAATCAACAATGAGCACTCAATCAGCAGCCGTATAGAGAATGACACATCTAGAGTGTCCAGTAAACTGGAACAGTCGAAAAGTGCACGTTGCCAGAAACCCCTTGTCCCGTCCCAATTAGGGGCTTGATAATGCAAAATTAGCACTTTGAAGCTTAAGCCTTGGACTTGTTCTCTAAGCCTGAATTAGCGGCTTGTTGATTTAATCAGTTCGTTGGGTCGGTATAAAAAGTTTAAAATTAAATGAAATGGGATTAATATACATACTAAAAGTTGTATACGAGCGTTGATTCAAAATATGGGGAAAAAACATTTTCTAAGAAATAACAGTCGTATGTATTAATTATAAAATGAAATTTAGAGACAATTGTTAAGGGGTTATTTTTATACCCTGTACCTGAAGGGTTAATGAGTAAAGCCAGACTTCATATTATAGGTACATTAACATGACAAGACAAAATGATATATATATAATATATGATACTCGATCGTCTCTCTTTTTTTATTAAGAAAGATATTTAAAGCATAACTGGTATTAACGAGTTTTGTGTAGTACCTCATGATATTCTGAAGTTTTATCAAAATCGGCGCACTTGTTTATATAGCGGCCATAATAACGATGGGCGCAGAATACAAGCTAAGTGCCAACGTTACTAAGTACATATATTATAAACTATTCTGTCTACGTATAATATTGTTGTTATAAATCAACTTAAAAAGTTTGTTCATCATTTCATATTTGAGAGCTCATTTTACCCTAGGGTTGAATTTGCTTAAGTTGACTTGGCTTGTAACTTGGACTGTAACCCCACCCAGCATTGTTTATAAAAATGACTATAATTTCTTTCTGATTTAACCATTTTTGGGGGCTACATAACTAAATGCAAGTACGTATATTGTGTTATAACACAATAACCTAATTCAAAACAAAAAATTTTTCTATTATTTATTAGAATATTTTAGGTTATTAAAAGTTTTGGTTATATAGTTTTTAAAGTGCTTTAGTTTTGGGAGTTAATGTAGAATAGAGAAATGGTTGATTAGCATTTTACCAAAATGTGCTGTCCAGTTTATTAGAACATGCATACCCAGCTGGGTTAAATTAGTTTCATCACATAACGCAATCACTAAGTTTACTATAAATATATTTAAGAAGGTATTAAACATTCTTAATGTGTTTGATTCCCATCAAAAGTTAAAATAATAGGGGTGGATGATTTGCAGCTTTTACACAAAATTCTGGATATACTATAGCTCAAAAAAGTGAATAATATAATTCCTAGTTACTTTAATTGATGAAATTGACAACTGACCATCTATGTATGTACATTGATTCGCCTCATCTTAGTTCATGGGGATTGATACTCCTCCTTTTGGATATTACCGAAATTGCCAAAAATAAAATATACCGTAGGCACAGCAGGTATAATTAAATTTTAATTGTGCAAAGCCTAAGAAATTCTTCTCCTTCGTGGGTATCCCATTGGACAGACGCGAATCGCAAATTTGTCAGATTAGTGCTGGCACATAATACTCTACAGACAAACATATGTACATACATTCGCACACACAGATGGAGACGCAAATAAAAAAAAAGAGCAATGCAAAGGAATTGGAAACAGCTGCTGGGCAGAAACAATAAGAGAACGCCGAGCAAAACAAATTGAAATGAATTGTGGTTGTCGTTGTTGTTGTTGTTGCATGCTCAGAAGCAGCACGTAACTACGTACATATAACAATAAATAAAAGCTAAACAAGCGAATTGATCAACAACAATAACAAAAACTACAACAACTAGAACAACAACAACAGAGAAGCGAAGTTCAGAAGTGGAACAAATTAAGCGATTGTTTGGTCAGCGTTTCAATGGGCATTGATGGAGAATATTGGGGCAGAGGGGGAGGAGGCACATACTCGCGCGTATCTAACATTAGTTGACCGCAACTATTCTGTGCAACGGCATTGAGATTAGTTGCATGCCAATTGGTGTGGGGCTGCTTCGAATAGCATTCGCCATGTCGCTTATCAGGAGGCAACCAACAATGATAAGCGGAATCTTGCTGTCTCCTTATTGCGATAGAGATGAGTGTCCGCTGTTGTTGGGACATGTGCATCTTAGAGTGACACTTTGGCGTTGCCGTCTGATAAGATACCGTTGCGCAAAAAACCGCAAACACAGAATTGCAATTGAAAAGCAACTCACCTTTTTGACACCACGAAATGCATAGACATAGAGATCCCTTCCAAAGTTGAAGCATATGCGATCCCCACCATATATTTGACTGGCCGCAAGGCCGTTCTGGTCCACAACACCGCCATTCATCATCGAATGCATGGATATGCCACCACCGAGACGTGCGTCCACAGTACTGTTATCACCACCGGCACCGCCGCCGTTTGCGGTCACCAATGTTGTTGTTGCTGCTCCCGTTGTGCCGGCATGTTGTGTTGCACCATTGGAAGTGCGGCTATTGCTCGTTGTGTTTGCTGTTGTTGCTGTTGCTGCCGTCGCTGCATTTGTTGCCCCACCTGTATCGCTGTTTGGTTTGCTGCCATGCGCCAGATTTGGCAGCGTTACAATGGAGACGCGCACCTGCGGGGAACTCTGATTGTTGCTATAACCCACACGATTGGGGCGAGAGTATTCGGATAAGGTGAGCAGTCGATAAGTGCCCTCGCGCGTTACAAACTGTGTTTTCAGATCGTCCTTGACATTGGCATCCACTTGATTAGCCATTACGTATGCGTTTGCCTCACCTTATCGTGCGCCAGATATTTGCTTTGTAACAATTACAACTACAACTACACCTGAAACAACAACAACAAAGACAATGACGCTTTTTGTTGCTTGTTTTGTCACCACCACCGTCGAACGTCAGCCCATGCCACCGCAGCCACGACCACGACCACGCCACCCACACACAAACACAGACGCACACACGCAAGTGTGTGCCGCTGTTCAGGCTCAAGTTTGGTTTTTTGCTCGCACGCTTGTGTTGTTTCAAAAATCGTTAATTTTTTTGCCACTAATTAACTCTTCTTGCTATGCGCCGACGACCGCTCCCGTTCTATTTGCCGATTGCACTAATATTATTGTTATAATTAGATTTAATTCTGCACTACACACTTCAATTTTACAATCTTCTCGTTTTCGTATGTGTGTGTTGTTGTTGTTGTGCGGAATATTTTATTATTTTCTCGCTGCCGCTGCGACGTCGACGACCGTAACGAGCGATGTGCGGCAATTTCTGGGCATTTTAGCGTTGATTGGTGCCGTCAACGTTGTAAATTGGCCGCGCAGCATGCCACGGTCGCGCACGGTTTTCAACGTTGTTAATTGGACGCGTTTATTTTACACAGTTTACAAATTACTTGGTGCTAATGCAAACGCAAGTGCGGAATTCGATTATTCGATGCCGATGAATAATGTCGTTTTCGTTTACAACGAATAAATGCCATTCACAATGCTGCGTGGTATTGCCGCAACATACGATGACACAAATAGTGCCACCTATTTCAAAAATGTTGCTAAGCAGTCTCTTTTTCTTGGTCTGGCAGCGCAAGTAAATTTTAAAGCTTGCAACTGTCACACGATTCCAGTGCCCCTCAAACTGTAGTTAACAGCGTTAAACAATTCAAATATGTAGTTTTATTGATTATTGAAAAAACAAACATTCTACATTTTTTAACCATATCACTTCATGTTTCCTTAACATAAGCACGAGTTTATTTTTTAAATGTATGGTGAACCGGATTTTTTTTATTACAATTTTTGAAAATTTGAAAATTTTTGTTACTGTTTTTTAAATGTATGATAGGTACAGAGTATTTCCGTTTGCTTTTCCATTTGTATACATAAAGAATTCAATTACATTCTTCATTATTTAGATAGATAGAAGGTAGGTAATCGCGATTTCTATTTAAAAAATATAATTACCAAATATTTGTACCTTAAGTTGTCTAGAAATTGCACTAAATCTCTTATGTCTGACGATGGACTCTGGTATCTGATTGTGTTGCTCTTTAAGAAGCGATGGAGAAAACAAACGGCGTTAAATTAAAGCCAGTCTTTGACCCATACATGTTTTCAATGTTTTCTTATTGACTATTTTTGTGTTTGACAGTACATCCTTGATAAGCGACTTTTGCCAAAGTGAATTGCAGTTTTCCACTGACACGTTTATCCGTATAAAAGTGTTTACTCGTATACGAGAATGTGAGTGCTGTGTGAAATGCATTTGGCATGTCCAGTTCGCAAACAACGAAATTGGCCAAAAGTAAAGCTTTGTTAGCTATTATTTCTTGTTTATACTCTTCGCGGTGAAAACGAAAAGTTTATTCAATTGCTCATATTATTTGTTACGACAGTCCTTTTTTTAAATAAGTTTTTCAGTAATGCTGTATTTTAGTTACGATTTATGATTAGATGATGTCTACCGTTAAAAACAATTTAATTAATAATTTTAATTAAATTTTGAGAGAAGTTAGAAAATGGGGCAATCGGGGTGCTGGCTACCTGTTGAACCATCTTTAAATAAAAAAAATAGCGCTCGCTACATTATATGTAATATATCGAGAACTTTAACTTTAAAATGTGTCTGACAAACTGTAATTAAAAGGGGTTACAACAGTTTAGTCTCAAGGCTTTCAAGATGGAAAGAACGTACCTAAAAATTTTTAATTTATCTAAAGGCATAATATTGAATATTACAAAGTAATAATGTATAGTGTATTTAAATGTCGAGTCGTCTCTGACTATAACGTTCATGATATTTCTTTATCCCAGCAACGTCGCTTGAAATGAAGTTGCTGGAAAAGCTCGTTAACTTCTATTCCAACACACCATGCTTACATACAGAAGTACATACATACATATATGTGTAGTATGTATTGTACACATACAAATGTGGGTTCTTGACTTGGCGTAAAAATGTGGGTGTTTAGCGATATCGTTTGACAGCGGCCATTGTTGTTGGTGGATTTTATTTTCCAGCTTGGCTGCGGCACAATGCGTGAGTGGCATTCAATTTGGTGACCGACGTACTTACTCGCAAGAGTGGCAGAGTGGCAAAGAATCCCGCAACCTAACCTTGTTGGCTGCTCAAACACCTCTTGAAGAGACAACGAACTTTTCGCGTATCAATATGGAAAGATAAACCCATTCCGATACAGGCGGCACTTCAACTGACTATAAAAGCATTAATTGCCTGATCTCTTTAGCCACTCGTCGCTTGAAAGCACCAGCATAATGCGATCAGCCGGTAAGCCCGTTGTATTCGGCCCCATATATATTTTATCGCATATCCCATTCACTAGCCACATTACTGTTCGTCCTTGGCTTGTGCCTACTCCAGCAGGCCCGGGCGCAGTGCATCGACACCTTCGAACCGGGCTGCAAGCTAGCCATTGAGGAGGGGCACGTGCAACGCCATTGTGTGGATCCCACAAAGTACTGGTATTGCCCCACGCTGGGCGGCCAAGCCGTGCTACAACGTTGTCCTGCCAATACGGGCTTCGATCAAAACCGTAATGTCTGCATACCTTGGATTGATTGGGTCTGGGAGCCCTGCATTGAACCGCCCAGTCGGCCCACAGGTGTGAAGCCGTGCGGCAACTGAAATTTAAATACTTTTTTCAAATAATACAAATGTAACGTAAAAAGATAATTACATGTCTGTGGCATTTATATGATTTTTATATTCTACTTCCGCCTTGACATTCCAACGAGCTGGCCGTCATCTCCACATGTTCAAATATGTAAGTATAGGAACGTCCTAATTGTGGGGACGTGCGGTACAGCATTTATCTACACTGCGATAAAATGCTAAATATATTTCATTTCATTTCATTTCATTTATTCACAAAAATTGGCATGATAAATTGGTGTGTTTCTATAATATGTTAATAATAAAGAGTACAGGTTATAAAACTTTATCAACTTGAATATATATAGTGTGTTTTTACGGTTTTTGAGTGATTGGACAGTTTCTAATATTCTAATTCTAAATATATTGATCGTGCAATTGATATATGTCCTATAAGTCTTTTTTCCCGTTCTCTATTTATTGCTATTGATTGATCGAAAAGTAATAAAACAGTTCAAAGACGATTTGATTATAATAAATAGTTTCGGACATAAGAAACTTTGAACATTATTCGTAGATATATTCTTTTTACCTTCAAATTGATATATTAGGCAATTCGTTTTTAGTTCTCTTAATAGTTTGAAAGGAGACAATTTCGATATTCTATTCTAGCAAATATTTTCAATATTTCAATTCAATTAAAAAATTAATGTTTTATGCCACTTTTAGGATTATCCAAAGAATATTTTGTTTTATTAATATTTAGATAGAGAGCATGTTTTTCTGCTTTAGTGAATGTTAGAAGTTTAAAAATTATTCTCCATCGTTTTATGAAACAGAGAACAATGCTTAATTAAGCAAGAAAGAGGTGACGGAGACACCATATTTTATATAGTACATGTATATGATCATTATGATGAGACGAATCGCAATACGTCCGTCTGTATGAACACCGAGAACTTTTGAACAATAAGAGCTGGCGTCACCAAACTTGGTATGTAGGCGTGAGTTATCCTTGCACAGTGTAGGTTAATTACAAGCCCATAATAGACTCATTTTATATAGCTACCATAGGAAAGATCTGTGCAAATATCACTCACAAGAACCTTAATTTTGATTAAATCCAGAAGCTGTCATAGAAATTATTGTACTTTCCATTTCTAAAATGTTAGAATGAACGGTCTAGGAGGTGCAACTCTTTAAATACATTCGTTGCTATGGAGCGGTGATTTAAAGAGCCTGTCACTCTTTTGTGTCATATTTTATTCCGGTAAAGTCGACCTACAGAGTTATCAGGCAACTTTATAAAAAAATAAAAGTGAAGATACAGCAACTGATAAGTTATCTGTGTAGGAGGCGTGTTGATGGCATTACTCACCGCTGGGTATTAAGTTTGTTGATCTGAGTGGATGATGTTTTCTTATTTTCTTATGCTCAGTTACCTTGACATTGCATTATGGACACGTCATTTCGCACAGTGTAGTATTGTTAATGGCGTTTACAGCAACAGTTGCGTCAGTTTGCGAAAAGTAAACAAACAATTAGCAGCGAGTGAATTTTTATAGCTCAAGGCTCGAATAGGCTGCAATTTGCTTGAATTGCATTGTAATTGACTTGTGACTTGTGGCAGCAGTTAAGTTGATGGCGCTGCCACGCCCACAAGCTGCCACCCTCAGCTCGTGGCGAAGTGTTGATAGTTTTTTGACATGGAAATGACAATCATTTGCCCTCCTCAACAACATTCATCATAAATCAATACGAAGCGCTCATGGAAATGGGCCTCAATACAATGCTCTCATTTTCACACTTCCACGCTCGTTTTTCCAAACATACATACATACATACATACATACATACATACATACACACAAACGTACACATGGGCGTAGCCGGGATTTCAAGCAACGTTGCAAGCCAAACTACTGATGGCGTTCCCAAACATTTTTTCATTATATAGCATTTTATATGCCTCTATGATGGGTCTTTCAGAGAGAAAGTGATCTAAAGCACAAGACCTAAGGCTGGTAGTTTAATAAATTAAAAAAAGTAAAGCCATTTATTTTTTAACAAAATATTTACTGATCTCAGTTCTGCTAGCTTTCAGGAATGTATTGAAACCATTCTTAAAAAGTAAAAAGGCAACTAAAGATTTTTAGTTGTTTCGCTCGATTTGTAGGGGAATGGTGGAGGGGGGGGGGGGGTTCCCCCTACACTCCACCCATGTGCGAATGTGTGTATATTTGTAGCTGTTGCCATAAGCTGTATCCATTGTTGTTGTCCTTGCTGTTTTATTATACAGTTGCCAGTCAAACGCTTTGTCAGTCGGACGCGGAGTTTATAGTAAAAAAAATAAAATAAAGTTTTCGCAAAAATAAAATTTAAACACAATTTTTTGTATGTTTGTTTTGGGAACCGTTTTGCAGCGCCTTTTTGTGAGTATTTACTCGTGGAGACAGAAATATTTGCATGTAAAAGCATTTTTGATCAGCCATCGTAAAAAGCTTTGGTAAAAAATGTGAACCGAACAATTTCGCATGCATGGCATATTTTTTTGCTTCACATTTAATTACGCATTTTTATGTATTGTTTTATATATTGCATTTACAAGGCCCTCACAAAATGACAGAAATGCGATATTGATGGAAATGCAAAATTAATTTTGTCCTTCTGTTTTTTTTTAGTTTTGGAAAAAAGTGCATTTTGTTTAACTAAAAACTAAAGTCAAAGGAAATACTATTTAAATGATATCATTTGACGTCGCTTATATCAAATATCATCATTTTAAAAACAAATTGTTTTTTTTATCAACTTGCCCTAGAGTCAGTTAACATAGAAAGTACACACTTTTGTTCAGATGAGCGCAGTACTATGAATAGAAAAACAAGCTATAAAAATAAATAGAATCTATCAACAAATAATAAAGTTATTAGCTGTTAAGTAGAACCGCATAAATGTAAATAAATAAGTAATATACTTACAGTTAAACCTGCTTATATGGCTACTTATTTTGTTGACAAGAAAAATAGCGACCTAAAATTTGAAGCACGAGGCCCACATAAGTTGGCCCAAGTTTCGGGCTTGCAAAGCAAAAAAAAAAAAAAAATAATAATAAATAAAAAAAAAATATATATTCTTAAATGAGTCCCAAAACATGAAAATAAAATATCGGCCTCGAGAGGCTTAAATTGTGGCTTAAAATGTCCTGAAATCGTACGCTCAGCTGCTCTCATATTCTCAAATTCTAGAGCTTCAATCCTGCTTTTTCATCACTTTTGAGTGTAATTTTTTTTTTAGCTAAAGAACGATAATATTTCAAGTACGCCTTGCAACAAACTGTTTGTTATCGCACTACACCAAAGCGCATTTTGTTTGCTGTTTTTTTTCGAATGTTTAAAGGCAATTAAGACTGTCCTATTATATGGTAGAGTCGAATAATTCATTTAAAAACTGTAGAGATTTTATTAGAAATCTCTTATGAACAGTTGCTCTGCTTTTTTATTTGAGAAATATCTACCTGCGGCTGTAAGGAATACCCAATGCAAGAAGAGTAAATGCTAGTTGATTCCAAGGAAGACTATGCTAACTATTTAGATGCAGCTCTCACGTGCATTTCCCACACTGGCTTGTTGAATATTCAGCCCCAAGAATTCGAATACAAATGGATGCACAAATTTGCAAGAGTTGTTTGTAAATCTCAAAATACTTTCGAAAATGCCACACGAATTAACATAAATCACAGGCACCGAGGCAAAGTACTTCGCCAAGGGCTGAGCCGTAACCAGGACTCTGTCTGTGTGTGTAGCTTCATTTAATGGCACACATTAATAACCTGATTTAATTTATGGCCAAAAACTAACAAAGCCAAGTCAGCTTGCCACAAAGTGCGCAACAAAGGCGGGCAGGCAACGTTCAAAGTACAGTAGGTCACAAAAATACTATATTGCGGAGAAATAGTTTGAAATCGGGAAAGTAATTAATGGCATACATATACTAGTGCTTGTGAAATATAAAACTAAAAAAATTGATTTGAATCATTTTCATCGAAGTTAAGATTTATATTTATTTGAATTAACCAGTTCTGTGTAAGCTGAGTAATATTTTTACATCAGTTTTTTTTTACTCTTTTTTTTGAGACTCGTTGTTTGATTTTAAAATTTATGTACTTTTTATTCACTTTATACAAGCAGCTGCTCAACTTAAAAAATTCTTTTAGTTTTTTATTTTACTTCTTTAATTTTTACTCGTCTTATCGAATGGACAATTTTTGATTTTGAAAATCTTTGCTTTTAATCAGAGAATGTTACCTACTATCTTAGTAATAACTATAATTATTGTATTTGAATTTACATATTTTCTAATATATTTCCATTCATTATTTATATTTCAAGTTAAAACAGAAAAGCCCTTTGAATTAAATACGAGTATATTTACGTTTTCATAAGGATAAACATTATTTTTTGAGAGGCGAAGAAAATTGATAAGTTCGTTTATTTTTCCTACCGACTACTATCTTCAAAACTAAAAATAATTGCATGCCGCAGATTAAGAGTTTTTCAGCTTGCTTCTGGCCGGTTTCATTGCTGTCCATGTGGCATGGTCTGATGGATCTGACTGAGTCAGTTGTATATAGCTGCAAATTTTCCTATAAATAGAACTGCTGTAGATTTATCTATTAAAACATCATTTACAAAATTTGATTCTCGCGTATATGTCTCCTCGTATTCATTAAATATCGTATTATACGTAGTATACGTAAATATATTTTATTTATAGAAAAACAAACATATTTATAGCTTGTCTTTGCGAAATAGTACCATCTTTAGATGTTAGCTGTTTTCTGGAAGTAATTAAATTTGGTTCAAAACTGTAACCCTCTGCGCCACTGTGCGACTGTTGGCGCATGTTGAAGGGGCAGAAAGGAGCAGAAAGGATGTGCGCCGTGGAGGACAATGCAGTGCGCGCTGCAGTCGAGGCAATTACTCAAGTGTGCAAGACCTAATATGGCCTAAGGCGGGCAAAAGCCAGAGCGGTCGCATTTACACGGCCCGTTTTGTTGCAGAAGGAGCCAAAAAATGTTGCAAAGAGGGAGAAAGTGGCAGGTGATATTTGGATGGTGTTGCCGCTTCTGCTCAAAAATGCCTTTGAGCCACTGTTTTGAATTAATTAGCAGTTCTGCCAATGCCAAAGTTGTTGCTGTTGTGGTTGTTGCTGTTGTGCGGTTGTTGTTTGTGGCTGGCCGGGCCGAGGCTATCTTTGCAAATAATTTACAGCTGGCGTTGATGTCATGAATATGCAAGCAGTTGGATGGGCACTGGTACGGGTACGGGCATTGACGCTGCCTGGACGTTCTGGCCGGGGGCCTGACAACAAGACAACAATGAGCAACGGAAACGTTTAGGCCTGTAAGGCAAAACAAATGGCAAACTGCAAACAAACAGTGCTGTAAACCACATCAAATAGGTTGGATGATCATAAAACCGGAGAGCTTATCTGGAAAGCAGCAACGCGTGTTAGTTCCGTTGTTTTGATAAGATTACGCATACGACCCATCAGCCAGCAGGCACCAGCATATAAAAGGCCCCTAGAAGTTTAGCATAGGTCAGTCTTAAACGAAACAAACTCGAGAATTGTGAAACATGAAGTGCATTTACCTTTTCGTACTCTGCCTGTTGGCAGTCAACGCCGTCCCCCTCGACAACCCCACGGGTCAGCCAGGCTGTCAAACGGAGGAGGAGTTGTCGGTTGTCAATTATCGTCATCTGCGTAATAAGACTCTGTACTGGATATGCCAGGAGCAAGGCGTTCCTGCTGCACTCGGCCAGTGTCCAGTTGCCCATGGCTGGCTGGATGATGTGAAGGAATGTGTGCATTTCTCCCTATGGTACTGGACCCCAACGGTGCAGCCGCCAAGCCAGCCGGCTCAAGTATCCGCTTAAAGAATTTCGATGCTTTCCGAATTATTATGATGTTTACAAACTGAAATAAAAACAATTGCGAAACGAATATGAATTGGGTTTAAATAAATTTGAGCATTTTAAAATAATGTACTAATACCACGAACCAAGTCTTCAGCTGCTAATTGCAGTAGAAATTTAAGTGAACAAGGGTGTAGTTTCTATCTGAAGAATAAAATAGGTTGATGCTGAATCTCGAAAGTTCACTTCACCCTTCAGTGGTTCTGTAAATTGGTAATAGAAATATATATATACGCACTGCGTGAAGCCTAAACAAAGGGCTTCAGTCTACTTCAATGCCGAGGCGTCTTCAGACCGCCATTGAAGCACACAAAGGTCCTACCTACCTTAGAAAAATTAAAATAAATATTATGTGGGGGTAAAGTGCTTCTCACGAATTTTTACGTCGTACGTACACTTTTGTCAAGGAAGAAATATGTTTTTCGTTTATATCTTTGTAACGACACATCTTAAGTTTATGATTTTTCGTTTTTGCCCATTAAAATAAATAAGCTAAGTAAGTTGTTTAAATATAAATTTAGGAATATAGCGAATGCTCCTCAATTTTACGGTGAAAAAAGAAAAAACTTAAAACAATTAAATCTTCTTTTGTATGAGTTAGTTAGTAGTTTTGTTTTAGTCAAATCTAGTTCTTGCCTTTTAAATTATTATCTGAACTAGTGCTCTGCAAGGCTGTAGTTCCTTTATAGGCATTTGCAAAGCCTGGAAATAAACTGTGAAATACAAGTATGTACCTATTGCTTACTTTAATTTTGGATAATATATAACCAACGTGTACAAGTCAATGTAAAATTAATGAATTGGTGAGGTCAAGTTTCCAGTTTCCAGTTGTCAGCGATAAGAGACATGCATTTGGTGCAAGAACTCCAACACAAACATCGGGTTTTAATCCTATAGAGCATGCTACAATAGATAAGTAGGCACAAGATCTCATCCAAGGTACCCTTGAAAAACGTTTTAGCTACTGAATGGGTGAGAATGTTTCCTAAAGAGAGCAAAAATCTGATTAAAAGGCACTACAAAATTTTAAAAATTAAATCAATTCATGTTTTCCTTTAAATATTTTGTGTCTTTATTCAAATTTAATTGTTATTATTTTGAAAATAAGTAATAGGTATGTTAAATAATCATTTTGATTAACTATTACATACAGCTTAGAATGTGAATTATGTTATTAAGAATACAGAAAGCAATGTAGAATTAATCCAAGAATCGTCGTACACTTAAATATAATCTCTAAATAATCTCTAGTTCCACATTGTTATTGCTTTTCAGAAGAATAATCCATTCTAATGTCCCAGCGACCGCTACAGATTCGCGACGACAACGGCGAGCCCGGCTGCAAGACGACCGATGAACGCCATCAACGCTTTCGCCATTTCTGGGATCCTTCAGCCTACTGGCAATGTGGCGCTACTCCAGACCAGCCCGCACAAATCAAACATTGCGCCAGCAATGAGCTTTACTATGATGTGGCAAAGAGTTGTGTGAAATGGAAGGACTGGAAATGGACCGAGCCACAGGAGCCACCCACAAAGCCCGATAAATAAATGTTTCGAAAAATACCCGCATATCTGTTTAATACATTCATGTGCAATCATCTCATCCCCCAACCCCATCCCCAGGCCAACTCCTCTCCACAGACACACCCCACCCCCAACGCACATTTACAGAACAAATTGTCGAAAATTTAATTAAAAAACACTTTTTGGCGTAATTTATGCTCGTCCAGCTGCCTCGGCACGTCCAGGGCACAAAATGACATAAGCCGCTTTGGCTGCAGGAAATAGTAGGGGAGTAGGGGAGACGTCGTCAGTGATGGCGGCATTGGCGGGATGCATTGTGGATGTCTGTAAGGATTTGGAGCGATACGTGCGATGCCGCTATTGTTTGTTTGCTCTCCATGCGTGCAACAATTACGCAAAGTGCAGTGCGGGTGATGCTCCGGGGATGCGAGGGGCTCAAGGGCGGCTGGTGGGGAATTAACTGAAATTGCTGCGGCCGCGACCACCCGTGCCAAACCAAATCCATTTGGTGACATACCCGCACAGAACACTGGACGACCCGCTCGAACATTCCCTTTGTTTGTTCTCATAATTTGCCAAATTGACATGCGTGCAGAATCAGTAGTGGGCTTAGCTTTGTTGCGGATTCCGCAACATTTGATATTTTTCAATTAGCTGCATATGGAAATGGTCACAAACAAATATTCGGCACACTAGCAAATTGTGTAAAATATTATGATTGAAGTTGACAGTCCACATGATTTGGTTTCAACATTCAAAGCAAACCATTTGAAATGGGCGCATTTTAATAGATTTAATACCTGTTTATGTATTAGCTTACTCTCCTTTCCTGGCAAATACAGTGGGGAAAGTGGATAATCGATTTCAATGTGAAGTCCCCAGACCTGAATCTATTTCAATCGCAGCTCGAAATGCATTTTGACTGTTTGAAACGGGTCTCTGGAAAGGGGGGGAAATATCCCATGCCCGGGCATTTAAAAAAATCTGCCTAATATAAAATGTTGGAACATTTTATACAAAATAATGAAATATTGGATTATTTTATTTATTTGCTTATACATTCTGTTCAATGTAGGTTCGGCTTTACTTACAACTCAACGGTAGTGAAGACAAATGCTTTAAATTGTAATTTTTAGCAGCAATGAATTCGATTTAAATTAACTTAGATCTACAAAAAAAAATTGAAAGCATAAAGTTTTGAATACTTATATATTTATGAGTATTTTTCTATTTCCAGAAAAGATTTGTTTTATTTAAACTGTGAGTCACATTTTAAGGTTTAACTACAATCCAGTATTGTGAAAGTTTGCCCCACAAATATACTTTTTCTAAACTTCTTAATTGCCTCGTTTGCTTGAACTCCCACAAGAAATCGTGTGTAAATAAATAATTTGCAGTTCAAAGAATTTTAAAGAGTTCAACGGTTGGATAAAGATTTATGTATTTTAATTCAATCAGGATTTAACATTTAATTCAGATTTCAAGTTTACATTTCAGAATTATAAATCTAGAATTCAAGCTTTATAAAGATATATAATAAAGATGCTTGTCCCGGCACTCTGGTGAACAAAGTTTGGGAAAAATGAAACAGTTAAGACCCATTGCCAAAAAAGGTGGCTATGAATGGTAAACATGAAACAATGGGGGAGAACAAAAATCAGAGCGGAAAAGTCTTTCCTTTTATGAAAGACAGTGAATAAAGGATATGGGTGTTGACTGAGTGAGGCAAGCGAAGCAAAGGGATCATAGCCGATGCATTTTCAAGTCTTATAATAAACTATTTAATGCTTGTTTAAGTTCTATGGTATCACCAGAAAATTCTGAACCGCTCAGAATGGCTCTTGGCAATACTTAAATCATTTTTGTGCTCTCATTTATATTTTTCTCCAGCTGAGCTGAGCACCCTTTGTTACGCTTACGAGTACACCAGGTTGCACTCTTTCCACTTTGCCACAATTTGATAAACACAAATCGATTTACTTGCGCATGCAAATAACTTTATTTGTTTAGAGCTGCCAAAGGCACAACAACAGCAATGGTAGACTTTACAAAAAAGTCGAAGGCGATTACGTTGGCAGGCAGGCAGGGCACAAGCAAAAAAAGGGCAAGCAGCTCATTTTGTGTGAGCATGTGCCAAGGCAACAACAACTGGCAAAACAACAACAAGAGCGCCAAACAAATTTGCATAAATCGCAGTTGGTAGCGCATTACACACACACACACACACATGCTCGTATACACATAAACGTGTAGACTCGTGTAGGTATTCATTCTTTTACTTATTCACACCCATGTGGGGCCGCAAAGACTAAGTGCATGCTTAAGTGTTTTCTTTTCTATTTATTTCTGGGGATGGGCGGGGGCTGACAGGGTTTTTGGGTGTTGAATGTGTGGCCTGGCACTGGCATTGGATTGAGCAGCGTGTGTCGCTTGTTTGCGTTGATGCGGTTTAAGCATGTGGCTTGCACTCCATCAGTTGCTCTTAGTGTGTAAGTGTGTGTGAGTGAGTGTTTGTCTGTGTCTGCGTGTGTGTGTGTGTGTGTGTGTGTGTGTGTGCATATGTAAATCAAGGTAAACACAAATCCGTTACAGCATGATACCTTTACAATCACATGCAATGGTTGTCCGCACACACACGCACACAAACACAGTTCCAGAAAAGCAAACTAGATGCTAATACATGTGTTTCATATTGACTGCGATATGTTATACAAATGCGCTATTGATGCCACACCATTACAACCACTGCAATAACAACAACAGCAATGATTTCAATAACGACAGCTACAGCCAGATATCGTTGCCTGGAAGCGGCATTCGCAAGAGTGACGGCAAACAAGGGGCATGACACACGCACACAAACACACACAACCCCATAAAATGAAGGGGCCGTGCCCCGAACTGGAGCTGACATTGTTTAACTTGAGGCTGGCACGGCCGGCTCCTCAGCATTATATTATAGCACACAGGTATGACTGCAGAGTGCTTTCTGAGCGTGCTTGATGCGAAGATGTAACTGAGCTGCAAACATCCAACACGAAATGAACAAACTGTACCTAATAAATACGTCGGGGATGTTTATTTATTATCCGTAAGTTTTCAAAGTAAAAATCAAGTATGAATCATCATCATATACATGGTGCATTCCAAAGTAAACAGGACTTTTTGAATCTCGCGCCCCCTGGTGGCGCTATCTATATGTCGACTGGTGCGTTAGAATCTGCTGTCTTTATCGATTGTCCAGTGAGAATTTCATGACATTTCATCGATTGGAAGTGAAGTTATTGCGTTTTAAGTGTCGGTATGTTTGTGTTATCGGTGCAAAAATGAGCTTCGAACAAAGAGCCAACATTAAATTTTGTTTTAAAATTGGTAAAACTTTTACCGAAACTTTTCAATTGATGGAACAAGTTTATGGCGATAGTTGCCTATCCCGTAGCAGAGTGCACGAGTGGTTTCAACGTTTTCAAAGTGGTCGTGAGGACATAAATGACGATCAACATGTGGGCCATGTAGCATGCAACGTATATCGCTACTACTCTGGGCCGAGCTGATGGTGGGTGTAGCGGCTAAGCGGAGCACGCGCTTGTTCCGGCTACGGCGGTCGTCGGCAATATGGGGGTGGTTCTTCCTTATGGCCGCAGTGCTACCTGCTCGATCGCTAATATTTAATGCCATTAAAATTCGCGTGCTTTTATTTACTTTTTTTTTTTTTTTTTACTGATATTTTGTTTTTTGGTATGTCTGGAGGAAAGTATTAGAACGGAAAAGAAAGCGAGTACGGAAAAACTAAATTGTCGTTGTAAAGGGTTCTACCTCTGGTCTCTGCTGCGCTGCTGGTGTTGCGTCAGCAGGTTCGGTGCCCACCCTACCATGATCACCTTTGGCCGCAGGTCGAAACCGGTGATCCCTAATATTACCAGAACCTACGTCATAAACCCACCTCTCGTCATGGCTTCTAACAAATTACGACACGTTAAAACATCATGGTGTAACTATTCATTTAATTTAAATTTTGAATAAAATTCATTTAGATAACTATTCGTGGTGGTTAACCATACAATAAAAACAATTTCAACCTTGCTTATCAATTGTACAAATTCATATAAAGATGTATATAATGTAAAGGCAAATAATAAAATTTATAAAATAATAAAAATTATGGTTAACAATTTAAAAATTCAAAGGTATAGGTGCAGCATCAGGGCAAAATAATATGACTGGCAACTTTAAATAATTTAAAGGAACTTTTCCATATTCAAAATTAAATTCTTTTAATTAAAAATTTTTTGTAATTACTATAGACAGCAAGTGGCCTGCCGTATGCAGCGAACATATGACAAACAATATATTTATCGTAATAATAATTCATATATATATATATTGTTTGCCGGTTTGCAGCACCCGCGCATTCGCCCTCAAACACAAACAACAAAAAGGAAAAAAAAGCTCTCTCAGAGAGGCGGAGTAAATAAGTAAAGCGAGTACTCACATTCACAGCTGGTGGATCCACGTCCAAAAGATCTTTTGTGAGCGGCGGCCAGCTGAAAAGCAGAACAATATTACGCGAGAGAGGCGGCGGCGTCAAAGCAAATTGCTGTACATTTTTTTTTTTTCCACTATATTGGTGGTGTTAAAACTTCTTTTCACTTTTGCCTTGCGCTAGCTCATATTTTGGCTTCTGCATATACATATGTAATATTTCACTAATTTGTATCGCAATATATGCACTATAACAAAAAAAAAAGAAAAATGACTTCACCGAAAAAAAAAATCCAAACCATAAAATAAAAGAATATATAACTATATATGAAATGGGTGTCGTCTGCGCCCTTTTTAAGGTTAGGGGACGGACCCTTAGCCAAATTTTGTCGCAGCTTCAGCTTCAAGCCGAATCTTCCACGTAGACCCGTGGCTGGCCCGTTTGACGCAAGTTATTAATTCCCTTTTCGGTGGCCCGAGGTCAATGACTCCACTGGGTGAAATCTCATAAGCAGCTGACTCGGCACACTACGACCGAAACTAAAAATTGAACGGCACGCGGCGACTGTCGTATATAAAGGCCGACGGTGAACTGTCGCCTATTTCATCAGGGTGACGGAGTCGGTGCAGAGCTTTTCGGGGGGGTAGGCTGCACTTGTTCTAATACTTCGAACAAAATAGCAATTGTGCTTGAAACTGCA